GCGTCCGCCTGTCTTCTGTCTGTTGTGTGTTGTCTTTTTGCATTTTCGACTTTTGTTTTCCAGAACCACTGGGCTAATTTCAACCAAACTTGCCACAAAGCATCCTTTGGTGAGGAGGATTAAAGTTTGTTCACAGGAAGCACCCTCATTTAGAGGGGAGATTATAAATTAAGAATTCATGAAAATTTAGTGGCATCTATTAAATCTTCTTCTATAGAACCACTGGGCAAGAAAAGATTAAATTTATGTGAGAGCTTCATTATATACTGTTATATTTGTTCTTATCTTGATCCCCAAGGGTTGGATGGGGCCATGACAGGGGATCAAAGTTTCACATTGGAATATATAGGAAATATCTTAAAAAATTCTTCTTCTCAAGAACAGCAAGTCTATGAATAGTCATATTAATACAGTAGCGTCCTCTGGTAGTGTAGATTCAAATTTTTTCATATCATCATCCCCATGAGAAGTACAGGGCCAAGACTGGATGTCAAAGTTTCACATAGGAATATATACAAGTAGATAAAATCTTTAAAAATTTTCTTCTCAAGAACAGCAAATTCATTATCAGTCATGTTAATACAGAAGCATCCTCAGGTAATGTAGATTCAATTGTACATATCATGACCATAGGGGGAAGGACAGGGCCATAACAGGGGATCAAAGTTTAACAGAGGAATGTATAAGAGAAGTGTTTAAAAATCTTTTTCCCATGAACAGAAAAGCCATGATTAGTCATATTTAGATGGAAGCATCTGCAGGTTGTGTAGTTTCAAGTTTGTTCAAATCAATGGAGTAGGGTTGGGCCACAATGAGAAATCAGTTTTACAAACGAATACATTAGGAAAAAGTCCTCTTCTGAAGAACAGCAAATTCATGATCAGTCATATTTATATAGAAGCTTCCTTAGGTAGTGTATATTGAATTTTGTTCATATCATGACCCCCTGGGATAGGGTGGAGCCATAAAAAGTGATCCAAGTTTTACATAAGAATATGTAGGAAAAAGAATCTGCTGATATTGTTAGAGGGGCCATAGTTACTCAGGTGAGCATTGTGGCCCATGGGCCTCTTATTTAATTTTTATGCCCCTGTAATCGAACATTCGTGGGCATATAGTTTTTGTCCTGTCTGTCCGTCTGTCTGTCTGTTTGTCGGCAAAAACTTTAACCTTGCCCATAAAATTTGATTGGTTTGAGCTATTGCTTTCATATTTCACTTGTGTATTTCTTGTGACAAGACCTTTCTTTAGGTACCACCATATTTGACCTTTTGACCTTGGAGTTTGACCCACTTTTGCAAAATTTTATCGGATTTTAACCTTGGCAATAACTTTTGAACAGTTGATGCTAGGGCTTTTAAACTTCACTTGTGTATTCCTTGTGACAAGAGCTTTCTTGGATACCAACAACATTGACCGTTTGACCTTGACCTTAGAGTTTGACCTTCTTTTGAAGAAACTTTAACCTTGGTGATCAGTTTTGAACAGTTGGTGCTAGGGCTTTCATACTTCACATGTGTATTCCTTGTGACAAGACCTTCCTTTGGGTACCAACAACTTTGACCCTTTGACCTTGACCTTGGAGTTTGACTTGCATTTCAGAAACTTTAGCCTTTGCCATGAGCTGCCATACAGGGGCATCAGTGTTTCACAAACGCATCTTGTTGAATACCAAAGTAAAATCTGCTATTGTTTTATTTTCTATGCATGATTATTGACTTGAACAATTCAATTTGTATGGTAAATCCCTGTTATGTATTAATGATGGCAAAAAATAACCTGCTTATCAAAGGAAAGGACTGAATATCCTAATGATTTTTTTTCTCTTTGTGTGAACTTACAATATAGTCATATTTCTGTTACTGAGAGCATTTACTGTAATGTTTATGTTTCAGATAGACAGATATATAATATGTTCCCTAGTATGCCATTTTTATTATTTAAGTTTTGATGTTTCTGTTTGCAGACTGAGTTTTAACTTTGAGTGTTTCTTTGGTGCTGCAGACTGCCCCTCCCTCACACACTTGTACTCAGGGATAACCATTCTGGCCATGCTCCTAACTCGATTGTTTGTTGTATTATTTTTACATTTCTCAGAGGGAGCAAATTACCTCATTATCATCATGGTAAGGATTTAAAGCTAAGCAAGTGAGTTAAGGCTAAATAAAGACATTTCCAATTGCTTCCAACTACCTTGTTAAGTAAAAAGACCTGAAAGATGGAAGTTTTCTACTCTAATGAAGGGGACATAACATTTTTAATTATTTATAAGTATATGAAAGTTTTTTTTAATTATACATTACCTTATTTGACATTTTGTGCATTCTTAGAGCCTACAGACCCCAGTTGTTGTGTTGTTTTGGACTTTGTTTGATGAGCAGCCATTACACTGGCACCCAGATGTTCATCTCTCTACTTGGCTCAGCATAGCATCAATCTGTATCATGTTGCCATCCATCTATTGCTACAACAGAAAGTAAGCAACAGTTTAAACAACATTATTGATAAATCTTAACTATAGTTTGACTCTTTATGTTACTACCTGACTTTTCAGTTCTGTTGAAAACCCTGTGACCTCAAAAGAGAACAAGATGGCTGACCAAACAACAGAAGAGACCCGAGGACTTCTTGTTTGCTCCACAGATAGTTACCAGTCGATTGATGCCTCCACATGTGTGGTCATCAACAGTGATTCTCAGACCAGCCATTACAATCCCATGGGATTCCGAGGATCCTACTCATCACAGATTGCAAGTTCACTCAATACTGAAGGATCAGATGTAGCATGGTCATTTTCCTAAGAATCATTATCATATACATGTACTATGGTACAACTATCTTTATCATAGTAACAAAGTGCTCAAATTCCTCAGCTTAGGGTGGGGGGGGGGAGGGGGGGGGTAAGGCAGAAAATAAGGGAAAAAACTAATGTATCATGGGTGTGTTTGTGCAGCAATGCTTTTTAAAAACAACTTTGATTTTAATAAGTTTTAGGTTATTCATGCATTGTTGACATTTACATGAAAATTCACTTTTTAGAAAAAATTGCATTTTACAAATCCTAAGCTGACTGGCCAGCAAAGGATCAGATGGTTACAGATTAGCATGTAGGTTGTTTGTTGACCATTAATTAAATCTGCAAGAGATATGGGTTTGGTCTTTCACCTGAGGTGTTTTTCTAGTGTTGATCACCCATGTATTTGTTTGAAACTCATGGTAGAATTAGCTTGACATGCAGGGTTGACTGCTAGTGAAAGTTGTCAGCCCTGCCAAAACACTACCAGCCCGAGAAAATAAGTCTTTTATATAAATTTGTTTTTAGTGATAATGTGAATGGGGCACGATCACCGTAACTTCTATCCCTAATCTTTAGGCTTTCGAATTTAGCCCTTTGCTTATTACACTTTTAGCTACCTATACTAATAGTTGATTTGAGAGATATTTATCAAATATATGAATTTTAATATATGGCAAATTTTAATTAAGCTATATGATATCGTTGAAAGACTTAAATATGTGTATTTTGTAACACTTTATGACTTTGTGCATTTTGTAATTGAGATGGAGGCATTCTATTTCTTTTTTTTCCTTTTTGATGTCAAAATTTAAATTTCAAAACTAAAATACTTAGATTTCAGTTTCCTATATTAAGTTCTCTCTCTCTATATATATAATTATTATATATATTATAATTATTATATATATTATAATTTTACTGTGGCATTAATTTTTATGCCCCGCCATGAATATGCCGGGGCATATTGTGTTTGTTATGTCCATCTTCTGTCTGTCTTTCCATCACACTTTGGGTTTAGCTTAGTTCAAAGCTTATCAAAGAAACCATTCAATATATTGTTATCAAACTTCATATGCTGATACATACTGATTTAAGCTGTTCAACTGCATCAACATTTATTTGATCTTCACCTTTCCTTTGACCTTGACCTCACTTTTCTTAAATTAATAGTATTTAGCTCAGTTTCAAAGAAACAATTCCAGAAATTGTTATCAAACTTCATATGCTGATACATACTAATGTAAGCTATTAAACTGCATCAACATTTTCTGACCTTGACCTTTCCTTCGACCTTGACCTCACTTTCCTTAAATGAGTGTTTAGCTCAGTTTCAAAGAAACCATTCAAGATATTATTATCAAAGTTCAAATGCTGATACATAGTGATTTAAGCTATTCAGCTGCATCATTATTTTTGACCTCGACCTTTCCTTTGACCTTGACTTTACTTTCCAAAAATGTCTGTTTAGTACAGTTTTAAAGAAACTACATGTATTTAAAAATATTTTTATGAAACCTTGACCTCACTTTTCTTAAATATGCATTTTGCTTAGTTTTAAAGAAACCATTTGATATATTTTTATGTAAGCTTATACATTTATACATAATTTGGTGTGAATTTATCAACTATATCTAATTTTTTAGATTTAATTTCAAAACTATTCAAGATATTTTCATACATTAATAAAATTTACATGTTGCATTACTTATGAATATACCCTTTGCAGGGCATTCATGTCCTATGGACATGTTTCTAGTTTAATTTTATTTTTTGCTTCAAAACATTTTTTTTTTAATTTTCTTTAGATACCCAGTGAATGTATTCAAATCATGCAACGATGCTGTGCCAAAATATCAATGTGATATTAATAAAGATTATATTTTATCTTTGATTGTTTTATTCATTAATATTCAATAAGGCTGTTCAAGGATATTTCTACGTGTAATGCCTCCAGCGCACGTAGGTTTCACAGAAATTGGCAATTAAAAAAAAAAAACAAATCAAAGTTTGTATTCTGGTTTGCTTTTACTTTTAGCAACTAAAAAATGTATTCTATAGGAATAAACATATATGTACGTCTTCCTCTACAAAATCAATTTTCTGTCTTGCACATTTTTTATAATTACGATTGTATGTGAAATTTATAGCGAACGACTTAGCAAAATCGGAACGCATCATTTGGCGCTATTTTACCTTGCCATGCGCACATGATTGTTGTCAGTTTGGATACACAACACGAATCTATTTCTTTGCGCTCTATACCTTGTAACAAAATCAAAAACATGGCATTGCCAGTAAATGGCTGTGTACCCCTTAAGAAACCTAGACTAGCACCCACAAACCCTGTTACTGTTGTCCTGGGATCACAATGGGGTGATGAAGGGAAAGGAAAAATTGTTGACATGATTGCTGCTAATGCCGACATTTGCTGCCGCTGTCAGGTGTGTATTTCCGTGTTTACGTTTGTTTTGAACATTTTTTGTATTATTTGCTTTCAGTTATGTTGCAGAATTATCAGAAAAAAATGTTTTTCATCACTGTGTGATTTTAGAGTTACTGTATACTGTGTGTATTGTTAACCTTGGCCGACCTTCCATGCATTTGATTTAGGGTGAATTTCAAAACTTGATATTTGGAAATCTTACGACGTGGAAACTTTTACCCCAATACTGAAAATTATTGAAAACTTCTCAAAATTTGTGAAAATTATTGTTATGAATATCACATATATAAAAACAAAAACATCATTCCATGATATCATAAATGGAAAGATAATTGTGTTAAGAAAGTATAGTTTGATTCATTTGGAATACACAGATTTCAAATAGTTTTTACTTCATTGTTTGTGTTGCATGCTTTCCTTTGAATGAAACTATATTCATGGGTTTCACAAATACCATGAATGTCATTTTTACGTGCTAGATATGTTTTACAGCACAAGATCAAGATGTGTGTACATGTGTGTAGGTGTTGGCATCGTGGTTGCCTATTGTGTTAAGTTAGTGAAGTAGAATAATGCTGTGAGCAATTAATGGAACAAGTGGCAATAATTAGTGACATCTGTATAATATAGGGTATATGAATGTGTATACTACTGTAGCACTTCAGGTTTTATTCAGATACCCCATAACCATTCTAAAAATATACTTCAGTAATACTGATAATCATAAATGTTTCCAGAAAATGTTAAGATATGTTTCTTGAATCATGAATTAGTGAATATTCTTGTGTGGTTTAATTGTGCCTAAAAACTTTTGCTTTTGCATATCTCTGCAGTAGTCATAAGGTTAATCAGGGGTTAATCAATGCTCAGCTTTTACTTCTGGTATTGGTAAATGGTATAATTTTCTTTTTTGCAAATAAGGAAAACAATACTATTTTAGATTTCAAAAAATTCCCAATTAAACATAACATTTAATTTGAATATCTTTATTTATGACTTTCCCTTTTTTGTCCAATTGCAGTTTAACTGACCTGCCTTCTTTGTCATCTGTATGCTTTATGAAAAAAATATATTTAGAAACATTTACAAGCTTCAAAATAATATTGATCATCAGTATGGTAGGTAAGCCTGTTATACAGTGAGAACTATTCCTTGAAGAGAATTAGAGAGAAAGATTACTTTTGTTATTTCATATTTTATTGTCTGAAAAAAAAAAATAAAAAAAAAAATTGGGGGGGGGATATCTTGATAGAGGCCTAGAAATGACCCCAAAATTACTCTCAAAATGACATTTTTCTCCATTTGGTAAAAATTTCCCGAGGGACATGCCCCCAGACCCCCTAGTACATGTATATTTGTGCCTTCAGCACACATTTCCCTCCTTCAGCTCTCATTTTTCAACTTTTATGTGATAAAGGTAGTAAAATAAATTTTGTCAAGTTGATCCTCTCAATTCTGAAATATTTCCAAGAACTTTTGCCAACTTTGGTCAAAACTAAAGTCAAGAGAATTTTATTCTCTTGTTACAATTCTAGGGTTAAAAAGATGTTAAACCATAAATCCAAACTTTGATATAAACATGACCCTTTTCAACCAGGAAATGTGTTAGATAATTACCGGTACTAGTAATAACTTTAAGTGTACTGTAGTTAGAGGAAAGTTCTGTACAGACTGAAATATAAATTTACCATATATCTTTAATCATTGAAAATTAGAAAAATTACATAAAAGAAGAAAATAATTATTTTTTATGAGTTCTATTATTTATAATTTGTAAAAATATATTCATAAAATATATTTAGAAAGTCCCTCAGACTTGTGTGATTTCTAATTGCTAAGTGGAATCCAGAATAAGCTAGCCCCAGGCACCGGACTTCAGCGATTTTTGAATCCCAGAATTAGTCCTACTTTTAAAGTAGTATTTATATGAATTTACCAGTAGTGTGTATAGAATATACAACAAATTTGAATGAATGCCAGTTTTCTAGCAACAAGGTCCATGTAAGTTGATTGGTGTGTTATAAACAGCAAGCTTTTTATTTATTGTGGGTTACTTAGGTCAAACTTCATAGTACTTGAAAGAACATTGCACTGAATTGTGTGTAAATATGGTAATCAGTTGATGTTAGTGCATGCAGAAACATGTATTCTCTTGTATTTGCTATGCCTGCATTTATGCTAAATTGAAATTATATTAAACATGCAGCTTACCAAAGAAAAGTTTGCCTATAGCTGTAATCTTAAATTCAGAATTTTAAAATGCTTTTAAGTTCTGAATTTGAACAATTTGATATTAAAAGTTAAGACATAACTTTACCATAGAAGATTTTATGCTTCATATGCTATTATCTTATAAATAGCAAATCTTAAATTACCATACAATGCTGAAAATAAAATTTCTGGGTAAAAAATGTTTTGGTTAACTGTTATGGAGCATAAAGTTTGTAGCTTGAAGTTATTATCATCATCGCTTATTTATTTATTTTGGTTGAAGGGAGGTAACAATGCTGGTCACACTGTAGTTGTTGGTGAAAAAGCCTATGATTTCCACCTACTGCCGAGCGGTATAGTCAACAAGAAATGCACAGCTGTTATAGGTCTGTATATATATATATATATATAAATATATATTTTAAATATATATGTACTTTAGAGTATGGTAGGCTAGTGATATATATTACAATAGTCACCTACTATCGAAAAATTGTCACTCAAGGCAGCAGATCAGTGACAATACGTTCTATTTCCACTTCTTAGTGCGCTCTTTTGTGAAAAAGTCGGAAAATGTACGAATCTTGCGGGATTTCTGGGACAAATGTAACATAAACATATAAACAATATGTTGAATGTCGATGAACAAATCCTAAGAAAATGCAAATGAAATATTTTACTGTTGTGGACTTTATATACATCAAGAGTAGGAATGAAAACGATATCAATTTATATCTGTTGTTGATTGTATGTATCTATTTATCGTATGGTACATCTGAATACAATACACATGCCTTGGAAATGTCATATTTTTTATTAATGGATGATAAATTTAGGGTTCTCGCTCTCTTACATATGTCTTTTAGTTCTCCTATTCTTTAATTGGAATGACAAATACATTTAACATTTAAAATTGGATTGAGATTGGCATGTTTTGTATTATCCGCAACACCATGCTGTCCCAGTCAGACGACCAAATGCGCCTCTAATTTTGAAGAGTTCACTAATGGAAATACGTATTGATAGAAATTTTTTAACATTGATGGTTGCTGAATATTCCCAAAATATTTTTTTTACCAAACAAGTTTATCATTTAAGCTTGTAAAGGGAGATAACTCTATTTCTCATGCAACTTTCCAACTGTGATAAGAATTTGGTGTGATTTTTTTTTTCATTAAAGAGGATATATATATATATATATATATATATATATATATATATATATATATATATATATATATATATATATATATATATGTATATATGTATATATGTATCTTTTACTCAGAATGAATATTAATGTATAACTTTATTAAATGAAAGTTCAATCTATCAGTTACTTAAATTAAGTGTATGCTGCCTCTTCAATTTAATAATTTGATAGTAATTTTTTTAAAAATAAATTTGCAGTCACAAGATTTTATTGTTCGTTGACTACAAAGCTTATGATGATCCTATAGAATTTTGAAGCATTTTATTTATTATATTTTAGGTAAAGAAAACAAATAATGAATAGACTGTTTTAAAAAGTTTTTAACACAATTTAAATCAAAGTATTTATTCAGTGTATTCATTGGATATCTTTTTATCACAGGCATGTATTTATTTGTTGTCAGGAAATGGGGTCGTGGTACATCTGCCAAATTTGTTTGAGGAAATTGAAAAGAATGTTGAGAAAGGAATGGAGGGTTGGCAGGAAAGACTTTTGATCTCAAACCGAGCTCACTTAGGTACTGTATGCCTTCCTAACAAATATGTCACAATGTATGCCTTGTAGTCATGTGGAGCATTAGAGAAATCCTTGACATGTCGTAGGTATATAAATTTTTCGTACAGTTTTCTCAGTGGATACGCCACATGTTAAACCCATTCACAGCAATAATTATTTGCAGATGGATGCATTGTTCTCTTTGAATCCTTGACATACAGCCTCAAACAACCATTTTTCGTGATTCAGAATGGAACATTTTTGTGTTTTAGATGGGCTACAGTGTAGTCCATTCCTACTTTTTAAAAGGACAGTTACAGAGTAGTAAGAAACTTGATAAAATACTTTAAGATGTTTGACATCACATACTAGAAAAAGAGAAAAATTTGTAGTAAATGAATCTACAGCACTTGACCCAGATTTGTGAATGGTAAAATAAAAGATAAATTTTATGCTATTTTTACAGTGTATTTACTAGTTCTGGATGGTTTTCTTAGTATCTTGAGATATACAGTGGAGCCTGGTTAATCAGAACACCAATAATTAGATGTTTTACCTTCCAGACAAAATTTATAGAGAACTATTTATATTTATGTATACCAAGTATGTTTCTGTAATCTGGACACTTCATTTATCCGGAGAATTTGCTTTGGATTAAACCGTCCAGATTAACAAGGGATGACTATTTACAGTTGAACTTCGGTATCTTGAACACTGATATCTCGAATACCATGGATATGTTGAAGTGATTTGGAAGTCCCGAGCACTTATTCTTTAAGTATTTTATGTTCGATGTCTCGAATCCTCAGATATCTCAAACTTTTTTCTTGGTCCCATTGAGGTCGAGATAACGAGGTTTGACTGTATGAATGACACTAGAATCTGTAAATGCAGGATTTGGTACGTTTCTCCTAGGGGTACAAGACATTATCCAACTATATTTAACAAATCCTTGCAATTTCCAATGTATATAACTGGCTTCCTTGATGTGAAGGCCACAGATACAATATAGGGATTTGTGTTCATGAATTATAAATGTCCCTTTAATCAAAAAAAGATTTGTGACCTTGTATATATATTTTTTAATCAAGGAGATTGATTAGGATGATTGGTCTATCAATATTTGATTGATTTACAGTAATTTAGTCATGGTTTATTTTGACTTTGAAAAAGATGGTATGATATTTCAGAAAAGTCAAAGGGTTTGACAGGAAACCGGTGATTTACTGGAAATGAAAATGTTCTGAAATTTGTTTATTTTGTGTTTTTTAAACTAATATCTTTTTTATACTACCTGTTTTATACTTCCTGCCCTTTTTAGTGCTTTCTTAAGGCTTTTTCAAACTTTAATTTGGGAAACAATGCTGACTTAATTTCATATTTTCTATGGGAACCTGATTATGGAACAAATTAAACTTGAATTTAGACTTGTTGCCTTTACTCTTAGCTGTATGAACCCATGAAGACATTATCAGTAAATAGATTAGAAAGACGCTGTTGTGCATTTTGCTGTAATAAATATTATATTGATTAGGTCTGTATAATTTACGTGATTTAATTTCAATGCAAATTTTTTTCAGTATTAGAGTTTGTGCAGTGGAATGGGGATGTCTTTTCCCCAAAGGAGAAAATAGCAGACAAAATAGGATGGGATTCTTTAACAATGATCTTTCCTAAAACTCTTCAGATGGGGTTGGAAATTGTTAAATCTTTATAGATCTATGCATTGTTAATTAATGTAGTGAAAATCCAAATTTGTTTAAACCTTGACCCCCAGGGTTTGATGGGACCATGAAATGGATCCAAAGTTTTATATAGAAATATATTACACACTGTTAAGCCTAGAATCATTAAATTTTTGCATTTGGGTGTCTTTGGGAGAAAAAGTGTTCCTTTGTGCAACTAATGTAAATCATATATAATTTTATAATTTTAAAGCTAGGCATAATGCGGTTAGGTTTAAATTTTAAAACAGATATTGGACCCAAAATCATGAAACAGCTGATGAAATCTCGGATGAATTACATGGTGTGTTGCAACCAGAAATTGATAATTGATGACCTGACTTACCACTATGAAATCATGTGCTAGGTGTTGGTGCTTTTTATTTTGAAAAACTGAAAATGGAAAATTGGTTAATGACTGTGTTTTTTGTTTTTAGTGTTTGATGTTCATCAGATGGTGGATGGCCTACAGGAAACTGGAAGGGGCAAGAACATGTATGTAATGATTTTTGTTTAACTGATTAGGATGTTATCTTCTACAATGGCAGAGTGCTATTTCATTAGAAGGAATTTAATGCATATATAAATATCACAACACTGAAAAAAAAAATATGAACATGAGAAAAGAAACATATTATAGGTGAAAACCCTATGGATGCAGGTGAAGTTGATGCAGAAGTAATCAAAGAGAAGTATTATTTACAAAGAACTTGTCAAAATTATATTAAAAGATGAATAAAACACCTTCACTACAAGATTAGGTTTACATATTTCATGCAAATATATACAAGTTATATATTTATTGGCAGGTTATACTCTGGTGTGTTGCTAGTAGGTTAATAATCCTGAAAAAACTTTTTTTAAACAGAATTGGAACAACTAAGAAAGGAATTGGTCCAGCTTATTCCTCTAAGGTATGCAAAATCTGTTGTTGATTCTAAAAGAATCAGTGGGAAATGTGGAAAGAAATTACTTTAAAAATCTAAAACTGATAACTTGTCTTGGTATACAGATGATCATGGAAAAATTAAAGACTTTTGCTTTTTGCTTTGGAAGTTAACCTGCATTTGAAAATACACTCACAGTATTTGATTTTTGTCAGGCAACTCGTAATGGTCTACGTGTTGGTGATCTTGTCGGTGACTTCTCTCTATTTACAGAAAAGTAAGTAGTGGTCAATTTCCTATATCTATTCCTAAATTTTATTCTGTGTTTCCAAAATGCTTGAATTTCTTTTCATTACAGTAGCTTAAGGATATTTCAAGGTAAAGGGAAGTGAATGAATTGCATGTGTTAAGATGTGAAAATATTTTACAGATTAATTCTTCACATAGACTTCTGTGTGAAGGCTTTGCCAAGTCCCTTAACAGAAGGTCTGTTCACACCAAAGAAATAAAAAATAAGCATCTCTAGCACAGTATTAAACTCTTTTATAATTTTTTATTTTGTTTAGAAATAAGTAGAAAAATAATGTGGACATGTTCAACTCTATTGCAGATTCAGGAAGTTAATAGACTACTACAAGAGCCATCATCAGGATTTAGAAGTGGATGTTAACAAGGAACTTGAGAGGTATAAGGTAAATAAAGTAACTTCCTTATGTGTACAGTAACCATGTGTTTATTCTTAGCTTAGCTTGTAAATGCCATCTAAGTCTGCTGATATATGTACTCATCCACAAATAATTAGATGTAAAATGTTTAAATATTTTGATACTTAAGAACCTTCTAGGATTATCGCTATGAGCTGACATATTTGCACTAATACTTGGTTATTGGGTAAAAAAAAAAATCAATTATTTAACGGTTTCTAGGGATGCGCAATATTAGTCATGCTTCAGCTTCTGTATCTGACCTGCATTTTCTGGATGAGTGACTGGTTAAAAATTATTCCCAAGTAACTATATGCCCTTTGATAACCAAACTTCCATGGATGATGCATCTAGGGATGCACACCACCAGATCTGCTCTGACCTACCTTTTCCAGATGATTGAATAGTTGAAAGTTTTCAGAGCAAGTCCATTACCAGAGCTCCAGATAAGGTGCGTATTTGCAGAAATATGCATTGAATTTTTCAAAATACGCATAAAAATTAAAACAGGGCGTACAATTACGCATTAGCAGTCATAAATAAGCATTACACTATGAAAATACTGCGTAAGATGGATTCAATGATACAAGTACGATTTAATTAAGGTCAGCTCAGTGTTTGAATTTTTTGATTTATAAGCGTATTCGGAATAACCTAGGCTGAATTCCAGTTGGGGAGAAAGATTTGAAGATTAAATACTCATTCTTTGTCTGAAATATATCAGATTTCCAATGTTCATATAACATCCAAATTTTCATTCTTGATACGTACAAGTCGATATTGTCAAAATTACGCAAAACACGCATGGTGTCTAATTTATCCTTTGTCATTGCTAAACATTTCTTGTATATCTACCATTTTCTGTAGCAGTAATATCATCTAAAGTTCGATGACAACCTTTATTAATTGTATAAAAATAATTGCTTCTTTGCTTTCCACATGATCCTGTGCTATAAGTAGCGCAAGCAACTTTTAATGCAGACGGGGAGTAACTCTAAAACTTTTACGTGTACCTCGATCGATGCCAACATTTCTATAGCAAAACATCGTATATAATTTTGATTTAAAAAAACAAACAAAATGGAAAACAATGGGGCTGGATATTTTGAGAGGGGCATGTATGGATGAGAATCTAAAGATTAATTTTTTCTGGCCAAAGGAAGGATATTTTTCTAGGTAACTCTTGCTACGGTCAATATAGGCCTTAATCTTAAATGGATTTTTGTGTGCCCGTGGTAACTTTGCCTACCGTATGGTCTTTCTGGTGAAAAAAAAAACGAAATGTTTGTCAGTTGTAGCTAAAAGCTGACAAAATTTTTAAAATTTCATTAACCTAATTGATAAATGCAGAAACTGTCCTTTTTTTACATTCCTCTTTTAAAACACACTTATTTTGATAACAAGCTAAAAATCACATTAGATGTCAAAAGAGCAATAGATTAACAAAATACTTTTTGATTATTTTGCTGAAAAACAAAATCTGCATTGATTTGAAAATCAGGGAGTAAATACACTTTGAGGTAAAAAATTATCTGGAGCTCTGCATTACCAAGTCATTGATTTTTCTACACCGAATTTAGGTCCGAATATTAGCCCTTTCCCCTGTCAAAAATTACCAAGTTTTTCCCAATTTAAGTTGCCTTTTTCCCAAAATAAAACCATGATGAAAAATAAAGACAATCATTGACAACTTTCAAAGATTTAAAAAAAAAAAAAAGGAAAGTTATAAAATTTAATGTACATGTAGAACTGTGTCTAATTTGTTATTTTATCAGCAATAAATTGAATAAATGATGTTAAAATTACTTATATTTGTCATTTTACCTGTAAATTAAAGTTAACTACAATCTTATTGATTTTTCCCAAGTTGGCACAAATGTCGATGATTTTTCCCAGTTGTAAAGGCCCAGGCCCCTTTTAAAATATGTAGAAAAATCACTGCATGTAACTTTAAGTCCTATCCAAACTAATATTACATGGATGTTGCAAATATGGATGCACATTACTAGAATATTCATTAAATGTGAGACTTTGCCTTACTTCTTAATAATATTGTCAGGGTGGGCTTTGTAATCTATGATTATCTGTTTTTTAATGGTGGTGCTCTTAATAGATTTTAGGGTTTATTTATTCATCAAATTTTTGTTGCTTCGAGGAATTATGCCTTGCAGGAATTGTATGCAGTCTTTTCCATTTTCAAAGCATATTTACCAATCACTATAAATCATGGTTCTGTATTATACATGTACATGTATATGTCCACATGGAAAATACATAGGAACAGGGGTCCAAATTAACTTTTATGACTACTAGCATATTTCTACTTGCAAACTTGACGTTTCACTAGCATTTTTCCATTTTCTGTGCTACTTGATCATTTCTGTGATAAAAAAAAACAAGAGGCCCAAGGGCCTTAAAGGTCACCTGAGTATAATACAACAATTTACTATATGTTCACATTCACTATATGATCTATATAGCCCCGCCCTAGCACCAGAACCCCTGACCCTGGGGCTATGAATTTCACAATTTTGGTAGAGTCACCCTTGCTTATCATAGCTATGTATTTAATTTGTTTAAATAATACCCAGGAGTAGAGAAGAAGATTTTCAAAGAAATAATGCACTTTCACTTTATGATCTATATAGCCTCGCCCTAACACCAGAACCCCTGACCCGGGGGCTATGAATTTCACAATTTTGGTAGAGTCACTCTTGCTTATCATAACTATGTATTTAATTTCTTTCAATAATACCCAGGAGCAGAGAAGAAGATTTTCAAAGAAATAATACACTTTCACTATATGACCTATATAGTCCCACCCTAGCACCAGAACCCCTGACCCTGGGGTCATGAATTTCACAATTTTGGTAGAGTCACTCTTGCTTATCATAACTATGTATTCATTTTGTTTCAATAATACCCAGGAGTAGAGAAGAAGATTTTCAAAGAAATAATACACTTTCACTATATGATCTATATAGCCTCGCCCTAACACCAGAACCACTGACCCTGGGGCTATGAATTTCACAATTTTTGTAGAGTCACTCTTGCTTATCATAACTATGTATTTAATTTGTTTAAATAATACCCAGGAGTAGAGAAGAAGATTTTCAAAGAAATAATACACTTTCACTATATGACCTATCTAGTCCCACCCTAGCACCAGAACCCCTGACCCTGGGGTCATGAATTTCACAATTTTGGTAGAGTCACTCTTGCTTATCATAACTATGTATTCAATTTCTTTCAATAATACCCAGGAGTAGAGAAGAAGATTTTTTAAGAAATAATGCACTTTTACTATATGTTCTATATAGCCCCGCCCTAGCACCAGAACCCCTGACCCTGGGGCTATGAATTTCACAATTTTTGTAGAGTCACTCTTGCTTATCATAACTATGTATTCAATTTCTTTCAATAATACCCAGGAGTAGAGAAGAAGATTTTCAAAGAAATAATACACTTTCACTATATGATCTATATAGCCTCGCCCTAGCACCAGAACCCCTGACCCTGGGGTCATGAATTTCACAATTTTGGTAGAGTCACTCTTGCTTATCATAACTATGTATTCATTTTGTTTCAATAATACCCAGGAGTAGAGAAGAAGATTTTCAAAGAAATAATACACTTTCACTATATGATCTATATAGCCCCACCCTAGCACCAGAAAACCTGACCCTGGGGCTATGAATTTCACAATTTTGGTAGAGTCACCCTTGCTTATCATAACTATGTATTCAATTTGTTTCAATAATACCCAGGAGTAGAGAAGAAGATTTTCAAAGAAATAATGCACTTTCACTATATGATCTATATAGCCCCGCCCTAGCACCAGAACCCCTGACCCTGGGGCCATGAATTTCATAATTTTGGTAGAGGGCTCAATGCTTATTACAATCATGCCAACAGTTTGACTGCTTGATGTCCAGGAGTAAAGAAGAAGATTTTTAAAGATTGCATTAATTTTGATGGTTTTGGCCCCACCCCTCAGGCCCCAGGGGGGCAGGGGCCACAAATTTCACAATTTTTGTTCCCCTTCACCCATAGATGCTATATGCCAAAATTGGTTGAAATTGGTTTGCTGGTTCCAGAGAAGAGGCTGAAAATATTCAAAAGTTTACGACCGACGAACGACGCACGACGACGGACGAAAAGAGATAGCAATAGGTCACCTGAGTGACTCAGGTGACCTAAAAATACAACAGACTTTATTCAATCTTTTTTATGTCTCAAAGACTCTCCATCCATAAAAAAAAGGAGCATAAACATTATTGTCTATTAGATGATAGAAAATCTTTTCAATGAACCTATCGTATACATGTACAAGAAAAAAAAAAATCAAATATGATAAATATTGTATACAGTCGTTTCTTATGGACATTATAGGTAAACTTTTTTTTTTCGCCAGATTTTGATAGAAAAAAAGGTTAATTTCCCAATATTCTAAACAATTTTGAAAATCGGCAACATTATGCTGAAGCCATAGACGTGGCCTTACTTACTATGTTTATTTTCCGTGTTTATTTTCATGACCTGGCGCATGAAAATTACAAGTATCAATTGTTTCTTTTCTTAAAAAAGGCATGATAGACATGCCACACATGTATTCAGAGTCAACTGTGCAGATGTATTTATGTCATTCTGTAAAGCGTTTAAGTGCACAAGACAAAGTTAGTGTAAAATTTAGGACCAAAGCCAAAAAACCTGCAAATTCTGAAAAAGATCATTGTTTTATTTTACTTGCTAAATTTTGCGATGAATCTTCTATATCAACTGGCAGTTTTGATTTTTCACTCACATTTAGCGAGTATTTCCTTTTAATTTTGACCCCTGTAGGGAAAAACATTCTTCCTTGCAAAGTAACAAAAAGAAACACTTTAAACAAAGATTTATTTAGAAAAAAAATGTTTAAAAGAATTAATATATAATATGGTATAAACTGTCAAAGTTGCCACTATCCTATCAATTATCGGTAACAAAAAACATTCCAATGATGACAATTTTTTGATTGTCATGGAGTATTGTTGAATCACTATTTTGTTGTGAAGAAAACTATCATGATGTACAATTATGTAAGATTGGTTTAAACCTTGCTATATGAAAATACTAGTGACTTTGTTGTTTTTCTTATTGGATGTAGATTTGAGTTGAAAGTGTCACTGTGTCACAGCAAAACTTAACTTTTTTTAACAGTACACACAACAGGCTAAGTCTTGTTATTTGCATTCCAGGTATTGCGCAACAAAGTCAAACCATTTGTGAGGGATACAATTCCAATTCTGTCCAAGGCCATCAAGGATGGGAAAACAATACTCGTTGAAGGAGCCCAGTCTAATGTTCTAGACATAGACTTTGGTATGACAGTGTACAATTATAGTGAATAGAAAATAAAACACAGAAGCATTAATTTTGAAGGTCCTATCAGTGCAGACATGTAGCATCATGTTTCAAAGTTGAAAATGGGGTGGGTGGGATTACAGACAAGCAAAAGAAAGGAATCCTCAAATAACCAAACAAGAAGTACAACAATAAAAAAAATCTGGATAATATGCAACATTTTTACAAGGATTTTTTTTCCACACACTTATTCACACTGTGTGCAATACGTTCTATTTCCACTAAGGAAGAGTTATACTTCTTAGTGTGCTGATTGTGAAAAAGTCGGAAAATGTACGAATCTCGCGGGATTCCTGGGACAAACGTGACATAAACGTAAACAATATGTTGAATGTCGATGAACAGTTCCTAAGAAAATGCAAATGAAATATTTTATTGTTGTGGACTTTATATACATCAAGAGTAGGAATGACAACGATATCAATTTATATCTATTGTTGATCGTGTGTATCTATTTATCGTATGGTACATCTAAATACAGTACACATGCCTCGGAAATGTCGTATTTTTTATTAATGGATGATAAATTTAGGGTTCTCGCTCTCTTACATATGTCTTTTAGTTCTTCTATTCTTTAACTGGAATGACAAATACATTTAACATTTAAAATTGGATTGAGATTGGCATGTTTTGTATTATCCGCCACGCCATGCTGTCCCAGTCAGACAACCAAACGCGCCTCTAATTTTGAAGAGTTCACTAATGGAAATAGAACGTATTGATGATGTTATTCAAAAATATGAAACATAAAGATAAAAATGTCATGTACATGTACAAACATTTATTCTAATGATAAAAAATTTCCTCATCTCTAAAGCCTTGTATGTTTCCTTTTTTGCTCTACTGGTCAGAGACCAGAAGAGCTTATGTCTGTCTGTGTGTAAACAATTTTTTAAAATGCTACTCCTCCTACAGTTTCGGTCTGATTACACTAAGACACACAATTCTATATATCGGTTTTTAGATTTTGATGAACAGTGTTGCCATAACATAGTTACTGGAAATAGACATTTCTGTGAAATACATTCAAAATGCTACTCCTCTTACAGTTTTGGTCTGATTTCAGTATCACTTGGCACACAAGTAGATTTCACCAGTATACATAATTGTCTTTATCTTTTTTTTTTTAATTTGGTGAGCAATGTTGCCATGGGTACTAAAAATAGAAATTTCTGTAAAATTCTTTCAAAAGGCCACTCATCTTATAGTTTTAGTCTGATTGCAATAAATTTTCCACAAAAAGAGACTAAACCAAGGATCATTATTCTATTTATTGTTGTTGCCAAGTTTCAAGTCCAAGTGGAACTTTTCCTTTGTTATAAGAACAAACCAGTAGAGCTACAGTCTCATCAGAGAATTCTTTCTCTATAATATAACACTTCTCTCTTTGTCCCATCAAGGACTGGTAATTGTTTCCAATGTTTTCTTTTGAACATATACTTTTTAATAATCATTATCAGTAAGTTCATAATGTCATAGTTTTTGCAGTTTTGAAAGCCTCCTTGTGAGACCCCTAAATAAATGTTACTAGTAATTTATACTTTTTGTCAACTCTTCCAGTGATTACAAATTGTCCATCAATTCTTTCTGTCAAATAAATTTTTACTGTAGTAAGCAGTGTGTTTGTAACATTATATTCTTTCCTAACAGGACTTTACCCATATGTGACATCTTCTAACTGCAGCGTAGGAGGGGTGTGTACCGGCCTAGGAATCCCACCCCACTGTCTTGGTGACATTGTGGGTGTGGTCAAAGCTTACCTCACGAGGGTGGGCAGTGGAGGATTTCCCACAGAACTCAACAATGTAACTTTTAATTATTTTTCTTCAAAAGAGTGATGAAAGCATAGCTTTGTAATAGTAGTTTAGAGTTTGAGGGTATTTGAAGAAGTATACATTTGTTTGCTATTGTAAAGTGATTTTAGCTCACCTGAGCCGAAGGCTCAAGTGAGCTTTTCTGATCACATTTTGTCCGCCGTCCGTCTGTCCGTCTGTCTGTCTGTCCGTCCGTCTGTAAACTTTTCACATTTTTGACTTCTTCTTAAGAACCACTGGGCCAATTTTGACCAAACTTGGTACAAAGCATCCTTGGTTGAAGGGGAATTCAAATTGTTAAAATGAAGGGCCAAGTCCCCTCACAAGGGGAGATAATCAAGAGAAGACAAAAATAGGGTGGGGTCATTAAAAAATCTTCTTCTCAAGAACCACAGGGCCAGTAAAGCTGAAACTTATATGGAAGCATCCTGGGGTAGTGTAGATTCTAAATTGTTCAAATCATGACCCCCGGGGGTAGGGCGGGGCCACAATGTGGAATCAATGTTTTACATAGAAATATATAGGAAAAATCTTTAAAAATCTTCTTCTCAAGAACCACTGGGCCAGAGAAGCTGAAACTTATGTGGAAGCATCCTGGGGTAGTGTAGATTTTAAATTATTCAAATCATGACCCCCGGGGTAGGGCGGGGCCACAATAGGGAATCCAAGTTTTACATTGAAATATATAGGAAAAATCTTTAAAATCTTCTTCTCAAGAACCACTGGACCTTAAAAGCTGAAACTTATGTGGAAGCATGCTGGGGTAGTGTAGATTCCAAATTGTTCAAATCATGACCCCCGGGGGTTGGGCGGGGCCACAATAGGGAATCCAAGTTTTACATTGAAATCTATAGGAAAAATCTTTAAAAATCTTCTTCTCAAGAACCACTGGGCCAGAAATGCTGAAACTTATGTGGAAGCATGCTGGGGTAGTGTAGATTCTAAGTTGTTCAAATCATGACCCCCGGGGGTTGGGCGGGGCCACAATAGGGAATCCCAAGTTTTACATTGAAATATATAGGAAAAATTTTAAAAATCTTCTTATCAAGAACCACTCGGCCAGATAAGTTGAAACTTACTTGGAAGCATCCTGGGGTAGTGTAGATTCCAACTGTTCAAATCATGACCCCTGGGGATAGGGCGGGGCCACAATAAGTACTACGGGGGGGGGGGGGGGGGGGAATCAGGTGAAAAACAGCAAGGCCAAAGTTACTCAGGTGAGCGCTGTGGCCCATGGGCCTCTTGTTTGATTATTAGTTGATCTGTACACATTGAAAATCTGTTTAATCTTTAATGTAGAATGGATAATTAAAGGTCATTTCTTTCCCTTCCATATTTAAAAGTTTTTTTTTTTTTTTAAAAAAAAAATACTGTTCGTATGAAAGATAATGTATTTTCAAATTCTATTGGTGTAAAATTAAGATTATTCTGGAAGTATTACTTTGTATCTTGGTAGGTATGTACTGAAGTAGTCTGTGATTAATATGTTGATCCTCCATTTTTCAGGAAGTGGGTGAGAAACTGGTAAACATTGGCCATGAGTATGGAGTGACAACAGGAAGGAAAAGAAGAGTAGGGTGGTTGGATATAGTGATGTTACGTTACTCCAACATGATCAATGGATTTACTCAGTAAGTAGTCAGGCCAAACAAAATTATATGTTAGTTTCCTGCAATATGCTGTAAAAAATAAGTCATTAGGTAGGTTTTAGCTCACCTGAGCTGAACGCTCAAGTCAGCTTTTCTGATCGAAATTTGTCCGTTGTCTGTCGTTGTTGTTGTTGTCGTCGTAAACTTTTCAGATTTTCATCTTCTTTTTGAGAACCACTGGGCCAATTTCAACCAAACTTGCCACAAAGTATCCTTGGGTAAAGGGGATTCAAGTTTATTCAAATGAAGGGCAACGCCTTCTTCTAAGGGGAGATAATTATGAATTTGTGAAAAATTAATGGCATCATTTAAAAATCTTCTCAAGAACTACTGTGCTTGAAAATATGAAACTTATGTGGAATCATTGTGAGGTAGTGTGGATTCAAGTTTGTTCAAATCATGACCCCTGGGGGTAGAGTGGGGCCACCCTAGGGCAATCAAAGTTTTACATAGGACCACATAGGTAAAAATCTTTAAAAATCTTCTTCTCAAGAACAGCAAAGCCATGATTGGTCATATTTATATTGAAGCATCCTCAGGTAGTGTAGATTCAAGTTTGTTTAAATCATGACCCCCAGTGGTAGGGTGGGGCCACAATGGGCAATCAAATTTCTACATAGGAATACATAGGGAAAATCTTTAAAATTCTTCAAATTCTTCTCAAGAACAGCAAAGCCATGATTGGTCTTAATAACATTAAAGCTTCCTCAGGTAATGAAGATTTCAATTTGTTCAAATCATGACCCCCAGGAGAATAGAGGGGCCATAACAGGGGATCATAGTTATACAAAGGAACGAAAGCATCCTTAAGAAGTGTATATACAAGTAAAATCATAACCCCCCATCCCCCCCCCCCCCCCCCCCCCCAGACCACTTTTATATTCAAACTGTTCAATAATGGGCTGATTTCTGCTTTTTTTCCTAGCCAAAGTGCTCAGATGAGCCATGTGGCCCCTGGGCCTTTTGTTTATTTCCCCCCTTTCATTATTTATCTATTAATAAGTTAACATAATTTACATCCATGTTATTTTCATTGTTTTATTCTGTCATGAAAACAGGCAATATAAAACTGCCAAAAATGAAGACTTCATATTATTCTTCAATATCATTTTATCTTTCTGAGACCGATTTCCAAATTATGACTGAAGTTTTTGTTGCTTTAGGAGTTCAAAATAATATAGGGTCAATAGGGATGATGTAGGCATCAACATGTCTCAATGGAAAGTAGAATTTAGCAACAGAAACTTAATAAACATCATTTATATTTTTACAGTCTGGCAATAACAAAGCTGGATGTGTTAGATGACTTTGATGAAGTGAAAATAGGTATAGCATATGAACTAGATGGAGTAAAAAATTACGACAGTTTTCCAGGTAAGTTGTGGATGTAGAAATTGATAAATATTTTATTATTAAATTACATGAACAGTAAACATGCATATAGCAAAGTGATTTATATACTCCGTACATGGCTTTAAAATCTATTGTAAACTTAATGGAAATTACGAAGTACAGGTAAACTTCGGTATCTCGACATCGGATATGTCGACAACCTGGGATATGTCGACGTCCGTCCGCGGTCCTGGCAGTATTTACTATATAAATGATTTGCAAAAACTCTGATATGTCGACCTCGGTAATCTCGACAACCCTGGTTATCTCGACGTATATTCACAGTCCCAAGAGCAAAATTTACCTGGTATATGTCGACATCGGCAATTTTCTGCTCCACTGAACCTAACTGTTTGTCAGATAGGGTCGCTCGTCACGCACGGATGGCTCCGGGTATCTCGACGTCAAAAATTTACACCTTTCACAACCATGTTTTGACTGCACGCTGCTTAATTAATTCTATAGACTGTGTTTGTAGGTGAATCCAAAGCCCCCCTCGGCGTCTTTGAGACGTTAATTGCTTAATGTTCAGCTTGGGTAATATCACTGATAAATCTACACGATTCTGCTTAAATTTACAGGTGTTTATTTATGTCGAAACCTAACATAAATTTTAAAATTGAAAAAGATAACTAAATTACAAAGAATAATAAACATAGTGAATAAATTCAAACTAAAGATTGTTCTAATAATATTTCGTAGTTAAAATGCATTCAACAGGAAATAATCCGATTAACGACACGATTAACCGAATCATCCGTAATTCATGCATCTGTAATATCACTACGTTAGTTTAGATACACAGATCTCTTAAAAAATTAATATTAATGCACATTCTTCCTGAATGAAATAAGAAAAAAAATTAATTACGCATTTAATATGTTTTCGTATCTCGGATGTCGACTTTATCATGTTTTGTACGGTTCGGTTCGAAGTTTATAGAGCGCATTTCGTATCCTGTTCTGACAAAAAAGCAAGTAACACGCGAATGCTGAATGGAAAACTACAAAAATTTAGAACGATTTCGATAAAGAGAAAGAACAGGTTTTATAAATAAGATTTTTAAAAATAACATCTTAGATTTTTTTTTATAAAAATAGAGGGATTGCTGAAATAAGTTGACCTACAGTCTATATTGAAGTCATGTACGTATCATTATGCAGTGAAATCTTGGACGTCAATTCTCAACTCTGATATCTCGACACCTCGGATATCTCGACATTTTCCGATGGTCCCGTCGATGTCGAGATAACGAAGTTTACCTGTATGTTCATAACGAAGCAAAATCAACCATTCCTAATACTTCATAAGCATGTTTTACTCTACTTTTGGAAGGTATCTCTCATTTTGATAAACTGTGAAATCACTAATTTTCATCGGGGATTAATTTTCGTTTTCGTGGTATAAAGAGACCCACAAATCACATCCTCCTCGAAATGTTAAAATTCCATATTACAGATATTTCGCCTTTATCCATGAGATCAAATCCCCTCGAACCAATCATTTTTCACCAAACTATGAAATTTTGACCCCTCGAAAATAAGTGATTTTATGGTACTTGAAAACTTGTCAGAATTTTAGAGGATGATGTTTTTTCCATCAAATATGCTTGACTAAATATCAAGATTGAATTCTCTGTCTAGAACTTGATAAGTCAATATGAATTGTCCATTTTAGAAGTTCGTGTAACTGCACATCGGCATAAAAAAATTGGAAAGGAAATGAGTAATGTGTTAGGTATTGCCTATACATACAGGTGACTCGAGATCTCTCTAAGTTCAAGGGACTGCAAGAAAAGTTCGAGGGATCGAGGGGTTCGAGAGATAGAAAGTGAATGAAATCTGGAATTTTCAGTTCCAATCATCATTGTTCTACTATTATGAATACCGGAAGTATATGTTGATAATGTCATTGCACGTTTTCATTCGTATTTTACAGATATAATTCCCTTGATTTCAACAACAATGATCATATTTTGGATAAATAAAAAGATCTTTTTAAGTTTTAGTATTTATTTGTTCCCATTTCATGATTACATGAAACCTGAATAGCGATCGTCGGTGTGGCTACCCCACGGGCTTGATCGGGTCTTTCACCAGATTTCTCGTATTAAATAGGTATTTAGTTCTTGAGATAGGATTTCTCATGCAATGTTTGTCGTACTGGGATTATGTTGACTCTTAATAAAACTCCATAATTTATGGAAAATTATTGACACGTTTATTAAATTATTTTCTAAAAGTTATCGTCTCGCTGTCAAGTCGAAATAAGTTGTGAAGCATTCCGTTTATAATTTACCAATCATAACTAATTAATTATATCAACACTCGGATGCTCACAGGAGTAGTGTCATCTATGTAAACACCCAATTAACGCCTCCATGCCAGTCCCAGGCGTTTACCATTATCCTGGTAAGTCCAAGCTGCATTAATTTTACGCTTGATTGGCGTGTACACACGCGCAATCAAAACTTTGAGAGATAGAGAGTAAAAACCAATGAAATGTGTGTAACGGGACCCAGGTCTTGGTTCGAGAGATAGAGAACTTCGAGAGATCGGAAGTTCAAGAGATCATAAGTAAATTTGCGTAGTTATATAGAGGAAAAAAAGGGGACCGTAGGTTCACTTCGAGAGATCGAGAACTTCGAGAGATCGGAGTTCGAGCCATCGAGAGTCACCTGTAGATTTTTTGTAACACTTTGCACATTAAGTAGAAAATTAATTTTCCTGATGTAATTATAGCTCTGGATGAAGATCTCTGCAGAGTAAAGGTGGAATATTTGACATTACCAGGGTGGAAAGTAACCACAGCCGGAGCTCGAAATTTCTCAGATCTACCTCAGAATGCACAGAATTATATACACAAGGTCGAGGAGTTGGTCGGAGTGCCAGGTATGTTATTCATACAGTTATAAGGACATCTCTAAATGTGTTGATTACACCTCATGCAAACGAAGTTTAGGGGGCATGTTAGAATCACCATGTCCGTCTTTTTGTAGACATATTTCGTCTGAAGTTTATCTCGGAAACTCTGTAATACTTTTTGTAAAACTTGTAGAATTAATAAAATTCCATTTAAACTTGTGCACCTGGCATTTACAGGTGAAAAAAAAATACTGTTTTAGGATTTTATTCTTCATACCTTCATTGACAGGAATAAGAGCAATGACATTCTTGTCTCATAGTTGATTTTAATAATAGCTTGTGACGCAGAGGTGTTTCTTGACTCTACCAAGGTCATTTTGGAAAGGTCAACAGGTACAAGACATATTACTGTTCTAGAGACATTTTTGAAATGGAGAAACATTTAAACTGATACTAGAGACAAGGTTGTTTGTAACTTGAGGATCTATCGTGACATTAACCCGAGGTTATTTGGACAAGTTCAAGGTCACTGACTTTAGAAATGTGAAATTCTTGTTTTAGCCATTATTGTGAAGTAGCGAAAAACATTAGTACATTACATATATATTTGGGGTAAAGGTTGCTTGTAACCAGAAGGTGTGTAACTACCCTGGTCATTTAGACAAGGCCTCTGGATGTTAAACATAATTTTGTACTGAAGTCAAGATCATACTTACCCTCCTCAGGGTTAATTTTGATCATAGGATATGTTTTGGCCCTGAACAATTTAGACAATATCCAGGTCACCGAATTCAGAAGTGACGTTTTAATGCTTGGACTGTGGAAGGTGTTATTTTTTGTTCCCAACACAGAGATAACGGTTAAATAAACACTTTCAACCAATATGTCTCAGCAAGATTAAGGCCATTGGACTTTGCCATATTATTTTTTAGCAAGATGGCAGTGATTTTTAAGCAGGGCTCTCGATTGTCTAAATTGGGGTCATTCAAGGGCCCCATTCCCAATTCAAAAGGGTATCTTTTTTCCAATTGAATGTGTTAATTTTCCCCAATGGTCATTTCTCAAAAAAATTCAAGAAAAAGTTGGATATATATGATAATTAAATTTTGTATTCATACTCCTCTGTATTGCAAACAAAAATATATAACAGACCAGAAACCCAATATATATCATGATTTTAAAGTATAATAGTTATCTGAAAATTTCCCAAAAGGTTGCTATTTATTCCAATATTTATGGCCCTGGCCCCATTCCCAGAAAGTGGTGTGAGCTACTTTCAACTTAGCCCCATGGGGGTAATAGGACAGTTCTGGTTTATTTGAAATTTCATTTGTAATGGCATATACTAAAACATAATTTTGTCTATTTTTTTCAGTGAAGTGGATTGGAGTTGGGCAATCCAGAGACTCTGTCATTGAAGTCTGTTAACATCACTCCATGGATTTGGCCATTGAAGGGGAAAACATGGAAATCTTTTGAAATTATAGAAATCCACACCTGTATCTTTACATAACTATCTCTATACTAAGTGGTGGTGGAATTTTCCCTGACTTTGTAAATAAACAATTCCAATTAATCATGTTTTAATTGACAGTCTGTGATCATCAAATTGATATTGTTTTTAAATAATGGTAAAAAGAACACTTGTAATGTGTTTTAATGATTTTTTTTTTAATTTTAAATGTGAAAATATTTAAGGCATATAAATTTGTGTTATTGGATGTTAGTCATTGGGTAACAGACATGTTCTGATCAATGTCTCTTTGTAATCAGATCTGAGGGTGTTGCTTCATTGTGTTCATATAATTTTTCCTGTGTTGTAAAACCAATTCCAACATTCAAACAGCTGTGTGTGTTCATAAATCAGACTTTTAGAGCAAGTTTTAAAATTGTTTTTTAATGTTTTTATAGGGCATAATGGTAGTAGAAAAGAAGTAGGCACTAAATAATTTCATTTAGTAATACTCATGTGACTAAACTTGTGTATAAAAAAGAATTTTCCAGACAGATCCTATCTGAAAACACAATTTTTGAAGTCGCAACAATACAGTGTTGATATTGAAATTTTCTGTTCGATTTTTGTGTATTTCTTTTTATATAATAATAATTTCGTGTTGATGAAAACTGCTGGATCAAGGAACATGTATATGCTATATTTTTTAACAAGTAAATTTTTGCACTATTTGCTCAACTACATGTTCTTCAAAGGAAAGTGTATAGAACATATTTCCTGATTTTATCTCTTAATAACTCTGCTTTTAATTTTACATCATGCTACATATTGATACTGTATCGAATTGCATTTTTTCCTACAACATTTGATAGAGGAATCTCCTACATACTATATTCATCCTTTAGAAGTCACTGATAGCAATTGATTAAGTTTAGGAATTTCTTACTGGTAAATTTTTCCAGTGTTTTTCTTCTTTTAATGATGAAATATTTTATACTTTGAATTTGCTTCCTAAAATTAATAAAACTTGTCTGCTACTTTGTGATGATTGTGCAAATTACACTTAATAAAAGGCCATGTTGAAGTATACTCCTATTTAGTTAATAAACTTTTTAAATTACTGGAGTTTTTTGCCATTTGTACCAAGAGTTACCATGGTGGCCTTACTCCTCTTCAACTCTCTTCCTACAAGTTTTTCTTGCTAGATTTTTCTTCGGTCTTCAAAATTCAGCATCATACAATATTTTTATATAAATGCACAGGGCTATTTGCCTAATATTCATTAGACCATGACTAAATTCAATTGTATTCATGACCATTCATTCATCTTTATGATGGTATTTTTGTTTTATGTCCCAAACTTATGCAGAGTTGGCGTATCTTTTAGATTATTTGAACCTAAGCTTGCATAGGGATTAATTTTAAAGCTTAAGTCAGCTATATGAATTATAATCAATACTGTGTATTTTGTATCTGTTTGCAGTGTTGATGTTGTTCAAGACGTTGTTGAAATATATCTTTATAAGTTGGCAACATTTTTACCTGTCACCATGATGTTTTATTAAGAAAAAAAAAAATAATCCTTTACATTTAATTTCTATAATAAAGATGTGTATACATATACTACAAGGCATACAGCGAATTTGTTTCTTTTTTTTTTAAATAGATTTCCTGGGCTATGATTCAGGATCAAAGCAAACATGGCAGCTAGATGCTATATATAGTAAAACACATTCATAATGATGTGCCAGGGATGAATGATTTTGCTTTAATAGTTATAAAATCACAATATATTTTAAAGCCATGAGGAATGAAAATCATTTTGCTGTAAGCATCAATTCATTATAAATGTTTGCTATAACCATGTTTAACTGTATCTAGCTCTCTAGAAAGGACTACTAAACTTGCTAGTGTCAAATTTTGATTACAAATATCTGGTAATAAGTAAATCAAAATTGGGTAAAGTTAGGCAAAAAATATATGTATATAAAATGGAGATTTATGTCATGTGATGGTCATTAAAGGTTGCCATCTTTGATTTGAACCCTTGCATGAAGTATTGATTCCACCACCTATGTACATGTAATAGCTAGACTTACTTAGTAACATTTACTTATACAAGAGCCTAGCCTTTTGATGCATCTCTCTGTCCTAGCCCTGTTGCATGTATTATTGTCACCTTTTAAAAAGTTAGGGAGGGGTGGGTATTACATATGTAATTTTGGTTGTAACACTTTCATTTCCAGATGATATTCTTAAGCTTTTGCAATGAAATTTTAAATAACCTCCAAGGAGTGGAATTTATTCTACCAACTGATCTAATGAATAATGGAGAAAATCTGATACAGGCAAACAAAACATTTGGGTACATGCATATACATGTATAATACATTTTATTGTGAAACCAAATCATAATCTATCAGAGGATTTGAACAGTGTTATGAATTCAACTTTACAGATACTGTTCATTTTTACATTCACAACTATACATGAATTGTCACAACAAAATGGTCAAGGAAGTACATATTTTGCATTTAAGGAGAGGTGATGCAAACTTTTGTTAAAAATCTTGAAAATTAATAACTTAAAAGTCATGTTCAAAGGAGTAAAATGAGTAACATTAACCACATAGATTTTCATTTAAAGTTTCACAGTAATGGGATTTAAAGTGGTGAAAAGTTGTATAGATTATAAAGGATGGTTGCAGAAAGGTAGAATTTTGATCATCATAGAAAGTTTACAATTTCTCAATATTTCAGAAATTTATTATTTGCATCATTTAAAACCAAAATAGATCTAAAAATATATACTAATCCAGACATCCATTTTTTTGTTTGTATCATCTGTCCTTAATAATAAACTAAGAAGTACTAAGCTCAAAAATTGATACACCCTGTTGCTCAGTCTTGATTAAAATCAGATCTTTGTTATGCCCCAAAATTCTGATAGTCGCTGTACAATGTGTACAGCAACTATCAGAATTTTGGGCCGTAACAAAGATCTGATTTTAATCAGATTGCCCTGGGCCATATGAGTATAATGGCTAAATATTTCTTGGCAGTATGTAAATGAGATTCTGTGAAAGTTCCATTGAATTTCATTCAGGGGTTTAGGATAAATTGTTAACAGAATGGGTATCCCCTTTATCGGTATAAAGGCAAAGTCCACGCTTTACTATGGGAAACCCCAATTAAATAATTATCTGTCTGATTGAAATGCAAAATAAATGAAAAATGGCATTATGTAGTAAAAGCCTCATTAAATGTTATTCAGAGATGTAGGAGTCGTGGATAAGAGATAGGTACCCCAAATATTATATAAAGAATGGCAGTGTCCAAGTTTTGCTATGGGAAACCCCAAATATGTGTCCGATTGAAACATAAAATAAATGCCACTATGAAATAAAGATTTTGTAAACGTTTCAAGGAGTATGACAAGGCTATTATACTGATGAGAAATGTGTGTTTACACAATATCTGGCCATAAATTTGACTAAAGAACTATATATGGTAAAGGTTTTTACCGTGCCCCTATAAACATCAAATTTTGAAAATCTCTAGAAATGTCCACAATTGTATATATTTGTATAAAACAAATTTAAATTAACAAAATGTATTATCAGGGAAAAATTATCTGCATTTATGTCTCTGTGACATCACAATCTATTGAATTTTTTTTTTTTAAAAAAAAAAAAAAAGGGGGGGGGGGGGGGGGGGGAAATGCGCATTTTTTTTTTTTCAATTATGATTTGGGTTTTCATAGAGTGAAATTTGCTCAGGAACCATTTTCACATATTTCATTGATATTATTGATCTTCACAATATTTTAAAAGATGTAGTCTGGCAGAACTGTGCTCAATATTTTCCAATGAAATTATTGCCCTAAAATACACTATATTTTGTTTACAAATCATTAAAATGGTGAATTTACATAATTCTGTTTATGTCATATTTAACTTATGACATCATGGTGGAAGAAAATGTTTTATGCTTTGATATCTGCATATATAATTCTGGCTTAGAAAATAATTTTAGATTTCCCCAGCAAAGTTTGATTTGATGGTGGGGGTGGGGGGGTGTTACTTTGCTATTACCAAATATAGCCCTTTGTTTATTCTCTGAACTTCCATACATTTACATGTAGATCTCGCCACAAATACTTTGAAATAGATATATTTAATTATTCCTGAATACTGAGATTTAATATGTCCATAAGCTCTCTTTTGAGTTTCCTGCATCCTTGGGACTGGTGTAGCATAACAGTTATCACAGTTTTATCATGTTCAGAGTCTGGGATGATTTCTCTCTCTAATGAACAATGTGCTCTAAGATTCCCTGACGAATTAAATGTTCACACTCTGATCGTAACATGAAGTGCTGCAAAACAGAAACAAACGATAATTTCAAGATCAGTAAATACATGTACTTACTGAACATGAACTGAAACAAGCAGACTGATGTTAAGCAGTAATTGTAAAAACAAAACAAACACTAGCTTAAATGTTCACCTCATAAATACTGCTCTAATTTACCAACTTTCTCATTATAGAAAAATGTTTGATCTTTGATTTACATTTTTTAAATCCTTTCTTTGCAATGGAACATTTTTGTGAAGCAAGAAAGACTTACACTAGATGACAATGCTAGGGATGGGTATTGCCAAAAATTTTGTATCGTGATGTATCAATATTTTTTCCCATATCATGATAATATGATATTTTTACACACAATTTTTACTATGATTTTAAATAAATTTCCAGAATTTCTTAAAAATATGCTGTAAAAACATAATTTCATCCCCCCCCCCATTTTTATGTATTAAATACAATGCATGTTTAGATGCTAGGATGCCATTGTCTTACTGTTTTCAACATTTTTTTTACACTTCGGGTAATATTGAAATTTAAAAGTTTGAATAAATAAATGAATAATTTCTGGATATATAATTATGTACCAAATACTGTATTTTTCGTCTCTGAATCACAATATGTATCATGTAATAAAAAATTACAATATACCATTATACAAATTGTGCATCCCTTAAATAATACAGAAGTGTTTGGATCTAAAATTATTCTCCTTGATAACTGGGTAACTAGTGAAAATGCAACAATAATTTATTCCATAATTAACATAAATATACATGTATTAAATTGAGCATAAAATGTTCAGGTGAGCATGGGGCTCTTATGTTAGTATTTCATACATAAATTCATTAGGCCAAACAAAAAAATATGTGTGGTTCCGGTTACACTTCCAAAAAAATTAGGGTAGGTAGGTAGGGATTTTTTTTTTTTTTTTTTTTTTTTTTTTTTTTTAACAAAATGATTTTCTTAATTTTTTTTAAATTATACCTATCACTGCTTTGCAAATGGCATTTAAATGTGGTGTGATAATATTCTAGTCAATATTGGTAGGGGACACCTACATGCTAGCTTGCTTTGGATTTAACACTATTAAACACTTGCACTATGTTTTGCAAGGAGGCCGTCATTGCTGAAACTAAAACTTAAACTGGAGCCATTGATGGAAATCGGGGGGAAATTCCGGAATATGAAAATTGCCAAAAAAAAAAGTTTAGGGTCGGGGGTATAAAATAGGGAAGGTCGGGTAAGCGGAACCACACATATTTTTTTATTTGGCCTTACCAGTCTGAAACAAAGGAATTCAATAAGGCATAAATTCTGTTTAAAAGAGTTTTGCAAAGGAATTTATCTGTCAGAAAAAATTTTAAACTTCATCTCCCAACTGGCCTACAGGATGAACAAGAAAATCCAGAAACCTTACTGTATATCTGCAGGACACCACCAATCATATTAAATGATGGTTTTGCACTGCATAAAATGGCATTTTTCTTGGAACTTGGTTTTTGTATAATAATTTGGGTATATTTTGGCTCCCATGGGGAAAAATGAAAATTTGAAATCTTATTTCTCATCTACAGGACACCTTGATCATTTTCATTTTAATCATTTTCCAAAAGATGAATTGGCTACTGTGTAAAATGTAAGAGGAGTTTGAGAATGATGATTGCAATATTTCAGTGATCTTGTCAAAATGATTTAAATGAAGTTTTGGACACACTTATTGGACACAGGGCACATTTGCACCAGAAAAATCTCTTTCATATTAATCTTTTAAGAAGTACTTGTATATGTATCTGTATAGCATAAGGTACCTGACTATTTTTCTTCAACAACAGAATGTTTCCATCTTGTGTTTCAAATTCACCATGGTCCATTAAACACCTCACCTTCAAATAACAAATAATCATTCAAGCCCTAATATCAAAAATACATTTTTACTGCTTTTTGGAAATGGAAAAAAAAGCACTAGAAGATATTTCTTAATTTTTCATGCATAGTTACATTTGAAATGAAGTAAAAATTTAATTGATTATCTGTCAGATGAATTGAACATTATTTAAGTAAAGTAAAATAAAGAAATATACAACTCAATGATGTAATAAATAGCTCTACCTGTGTCCGATAGATTATATACTCATTACCTATGTAGAGTATTTTATTTGTGTGTATGTGTGTGTGTAGGGGGGGGAGTCATGGTAGTACTGTAATTAGCTCTATCTGTTTCATCTGTGTATGGGGGGGGGGGGGGGCTTGAGGTCCTGTATTGTAATAAATAGCTCTATCTGTGCTCTGTTACCTCTATGTACAGTGTTTTGGGGGGCTTGAGGTCTTGGGTAAGGTCTAATCCCCCTTCTCCTCCAATAGACCTCATATAAGTAGCCAGCATCTTGTTGTACTTGCTAAACCACTGGATCTGAAATAAATGTGACAGAGGTAATTTGAGCAAGCTCACAGAATAATAACCCTCTGCAATTTTTTGTGCAATTTTCTAAATTTGAACTTGAACTTGCCAAAATGGCCTTGCCATATGGCTTGGGTGGCTTTTTACTGGAATAGCCTGAATACAAAAATGCAGTAGCAGAACCGAGTCCCCTGAAGAATTCTGCCTTATTTAACACTTATACCTTAAAGTAGCCAAGAATGACAGACCCCCTCCCCCTCCCAGAGAATAATTTCCTGTCTGGGCTCAGTATGCTGAAGTCAATTCCTTTTTGCTGTAGATGCCTTTGTTTGGGTTATAGATTTGGTGCATTACACCTATTCCCACTTTTTTAAAGGTAACATTTCATGTGGGAATAGGTGAAAAACTTGTGCAAACCAAAAAAATATATTGTATAAACATTAATTAATTTTAAACTAAGATATAATAGTTTTTTTAAAAATTATTTTATAGCTTTGGTTATAGATTATCAGTTTTCCAACAGTTATAAAAACCTTATAGATAACGGGGTATGAATGTTCCCAATTACTTTCTTCAATAAGCCAGGAAAATAAAATGGAAATCAGGAATAGGTGGAAGAGATCCTACTCTGAACAGAACTTTTTTCAATACATCTATAAACCCATTTATAAGAATAAATTAACATATTCTCACTGTTAACTTCTTTCTCTGCATAAAATCATTACATACTAATCTTACATCATTAAGATACTTGGTAAAAATGCTTTTGTTGTTGATGTCCTTATTTTGTGTAATCTGCAGTTTATGAAGAAACAGAGTTATCATCCACCTACCTCCTGTTCACACATGTTGAATTTGACCTCGGGAGGCAAAACACTCCCAAACTCCCATCTCATTCTTCTTATTTGTTCTAATCTGTTATATCTAATGAAAAAACCCTACTACATGAAAACATATAAAGCATACCACCATAATTAAAAGGTCTCATCGTATGAGGGTTGTTAGAAAAGTTCAAGGACAGATTCTATTGTTTTCCAATGATCTTTAAAAAAAATATGTAGCCATATCATTAAGATACAATATGCCTCACGTCCGAGAATGTCACAATTTTGTACATTTTCATTACATAGACATGTTAGTTATGAATTGTACTTTTGTAGCACATAAAAAATATATAATATTTTACCAGTCACCTCATTTGACGAAATTTTAAATTAAATTAGATGACTAATAATAGACAATAAATGCGTAAAATCAATCAAGAACGGCAATGTCATTGAACATCTTGGAGCACAGAGCTGCTAAAAAATTGTGTGTGTGACAGGAAAATGGCAAAACGAGACTAAAATTTTTTTTGAAATCAGCAGGGAATGTACACAGGAACAGTGTTCAAATAATAGCAACTTTTTAAGGATGGAAGGATCGATATTTTTGATGATCCATTCCTGTGATATCCCGCTTATAGCATGACAAGATTTTGAAATGTTTCCATACTTTGCCGCTATACTGCGTACATACATGTAATTTTAGGATATCAGTGATATCGGATATACCAAAACATAGTTAATCAAAGATTATGAAGCTCACCTCCACAAATGTTATCCATTGGTCAGGCAAATCTCACCAAATTTTTTTTCTAGTTAATGTGCATTCTGAGATCAATATACATGCAAGTTTGGTTTAAGTAGGATTTGCAGTTACTTGGGAATGGACCTGCTCCAAAAACTTTAACCTGTTCACTCATCAAGAAAATGTAGGTCAGTTCCAACATCTGAAGCAAGTCTGTTAGTGTCCATCCCATTTGCATCATCCATTCAAGTTTAATCAAATCATGCCATAGTTATACAGCTACTCCAAACACATTACCCTGGTCACTCATTTGGAAACTGTAGGTCAGATATAGCATCCGAAGCAAGTCTGGTAGTGCCCATCCCTAGATACACGTTCCATGATAGTTTGGTTCAGGTAGGTCTAATATTCACTCAACAGAAAAATATAGGTCTGATTCAGCATCCAAAGTTGAAAGGGTAGTGCCCATCTCTAGAAACATCATCCATGCAAGTTTGGTCCAGTTAGGGCTTAGAGTTCCTTGGGAATGGACCTGCTCTGAAAACTTTCACCTGGTCATTCATTTGGAAAATGTAGGTCAAATCCAGCATCTGAAGCCGATAAGGTAGTGTCCATCCTAGATGCATCATCCATGCAAGTCTGGTCCAGGTAGGGCTTTGAGTTACTTGGAAATGGACTTGTTCTGAAAACTTAAACCTGATCACTCATCTGGAAAATAAGGTCAGATACAGCATCCAAAGCAGATTGGATAGTGTCCATCCCAAGATTCATCATTCATATGTGTTTGGTCAAGGTAGGCCTTATAGTATTTGGGAAGAGACCTGTTCAAAAAACTTCAACCTGGTCACTTATCCAGAAAGTGTACTTCAGATCCAGCGTCCGAAGTAAGTATGGTAGTGTGCATCCCTAGATGTACCATCAATTCAAGTTTGCTCTATGAAGGGCCAAAAATTCAACTGGAATTGGAGTTAACCTCCTCCAGAATCTTTAACTTGATCACTCATGCAGCATCGGAAGCATGTTTGGTAGTGTGAATCTCTAGATGCATCATCTATCAAAGTTTAGTCTCAGCAGGGCTTGAATTTACACTGGAATAAGCCTGCTCCAAAATTATAACCTGGTCACTCATCAGAAAATGGTCAAATTCAGCATCTGAAGCATGTCAGTTTCTTTGTAAGAGACCTGTTCCAAAAACATAAACCTGGTCACTCATCCAGAAAATATTGATAAATGTATCATCAATACAATGTTGGTCAGCAGAGTTACTTCAGAATGAAACTTAAACATGGTCACTCATCTTGAAAATGTAAATCAAATCCAGCATCAGAAGCAAGTCTGGCAGTGTGCATCCTTAAATGTATCATCCATGCTAGTTTGTTCAACATTGGACCGCATTTTTCGGTTATTTCTGGTAACCGTGACAGCTTGAAAGTTGAAATATGATAACCTTTCTTTTTGACATTTTTCTTGAATTCAATAAAAAGAAATCAATTCAGTAATATACTAAATAATTTTTTTGCACCTCCAAAGAAAACAAACAAACCAAAAAAAAAAAAAAAAAAAAACTAACAGTAACTATCAATTGACTATGTCGTTATTTGACTATATGTTTTTTTTTTCATGTCAATATTTTACTAATAATTATTGAGTCATTCAATGATCCAAGGATATTAGGTCAGGTCTAGTGAAAATGAGGTCAGGTCTAGTCTAGTAAAATTTTCAGATGCTCGTCTGACTGGTCTAGTAGCTTAAAAGTTAATGTGCTCTGAAAAACCCTCACACATAATGAAACCACATTAACGTTCACTAAATAACTTCACAGAACATTAATGTTGCAGAATCTAAAGCTAATCTAAAGGGGTATAAAAGCTGATATGTTATACATGTAAAATTGAAGTAATGAAATAATATTTTCACTTAATAACTACATTGCAGAATCTAAAGCTTTAATGTCGAAGTTAGGCCAAAAAAAATTCATCTTTAGTTTCTCAAGCCAAAAATTTCAAAATTCAATGCGGCAGGCAGGTTTTTGTGGGTATTTTTTTTTTAAAAGTGTTCTGTTTTTTCTCGTCCGTCAACAAAATGATGACATCAACTTATTCTTACCTTTTTGTACTCTTATATTATTATACATACTCAACTTTAATTTTAGTTTTAGTTTTTAAAAGAAATATTGTTGTGTATAATTATAACAAGAGGCCCAAGGGCCTTAACGGTCACCTGAGTATAATACAACAATTTAGAGGATCCAAAGAGTATAAACTGAACTGAAAGGTGAAGCTTTGTTGCCCAAAAGCAAGAAAAATAGGGTGATAAGGATCAACAAAATAATTAGTCTAGCATTCAGTAACAGTTCATAAATTAGGTTCTAATCTGTTCCCCATTTAACACCATCACCATACAGTATATTAACAAACTACAGTGCGGTCTCGTTATTACGATGTTCATTTTGTCACGGGAAAATATCGTAATACAGAGGGCAACGTAATAAAAGTTCCCAATAAAATCCATTAAAACATCGTTTTGAAAGTTTGTTATTTTTGTGGAAGGTGTATTTTTGCCCTTTTGTTCCCTTCTTCTGTTCTAATTCCTAATCAAAACGCTAATACATATATAATTTATTAACAACTTATCTTGAATAGATATCTTCATGGTGATATTTCTTCTATTTCTTTCATTTTAAAAGAAATACGTATATTTCTTATAAAAACTTTGGCGATCTATTGGATCTTCATTTATCTACTGCCATTTCCTTACTTTTACTTTCGTTTCTGACTCTCTGTAGATAATGCGTTCGTAAAAAATTCAACAAGCCGTCTTCGTATTCAATTTATAGTCGTTTACTACATAACAACAACAATTTTTAGTGAGCTTTTGGGTGTTCAATGAGCTTAGAGCAGCAGTGAACAACTGATGAAAGAGTGTGACTGGCATATTTAAGGACAGAATTTGACAACGTACAAGCTATATGTCAAAATAAATTTAATTTTTTAAATTACTGAACAGAGTTCAATTAGCAGTTTAGCAATTATCGATTTGTATTTCTGCTGACACCTGTGAGGTAGTCCAAGCCACAATCAAAGCTGTTAAAACGTAAGTGAAGTTCAAATTTGGCCAAAATTATGTTTGATACCCAAGCTGTCCATTACCGCAATTTAATTGCAAACGAAATTACACAATACGTGTTTAACATACATGCACAAGATTAAATGTAACCTTTTATTTAATAAATTAATTTTATTTATTAACCAAAGTATAAAAGATAAAATAAACTTTACAGACATAGATAAACTAGAGACTACGTTTATAAATAAACAGTTTAAATTTAATTGTTTAACAATGGCTTTGACACGATGTCTCCAGTTCTGCTGACCTCGCTAGAACAGTCAAGGTGTGTGCAGTCAAGCGTCACTAATCACTTAACGGCCCCAAGTTAACACTCTGTCAGAGCACAGGTGTTTCAATGTTTATTTAGCGTCTCCTTAAGTGTCTACCGTCGATCAACACTGAATAAACACGGAGTGAAAAAAAATTTTGGACAGAATTTTCACATCGTAATACCGAGTCCCGGCATTTTAGGACATCGTAATAAACGGTTCTATTTTGTATAGATTTGTTAAGAAACGGTTTTGTGCTTTGAATTTACAACGTAATAAGCATTCTATCTTATAAAACCATCACCGTAATAACGAGTCCGCACTGTATTAGTGCTTCTATACTATTTAAATTCCTTGTTGAAAACTCTTTCATTGGCCTCTTTTGGTCTTTGATGAACATTTTACAAGACAAGTTATTTTTGTCTCATTTTTATTTATCTATTACTTAAAAGTCTAACTGATCATTAAAACTATAAAGTACTTTCTGTATTATACAATAAAATTTTTTGCATAATTCTCTTATTCTATTAACCTTTCAAGTACATTATTTACACTGATTAATTATCATAAGTAAATGGCAAAGGGGAATAACTCCTCTCAGAAGAATACAAATTAATAGAGCCCTTGCCAGGACCAAAACACTTGACCAAATGGTCCAGATGTTCAAAAATCTGGTAAAAAATACCTTTCCTTATTAAAACTTTCACTCTGCCTCTGATATGCCCAGGAGCAGAGAAGATTTTCAAAGAAATAATGCATTTTTACTACAGATTCACTATATTATCAATAGAGCCCCCCCCCCCTCCCCACCGAGAAACACCAGAGCCTCTGACCCTGGGACCAGAAGTTTGCTCATCATAAGTAATCACTTTGTTTATCTGCTTAACACTAAGGAGCAGACAGGATTATTTAATAGAATTAATGCATTTTCACTATATTATCAAGAGCCCCACCCTTACACCAGCACATCTGACCCAGGGGTCATGCAATTCGCTACTATGGAAGAAGCACTCTTGCTCATCATAACTATACACTTAGCTTCTTTGCTTTTTAACCAGAAGCAGAAAAGAATATTTTCACAGAAATTTTGCTTTTTCACTATATAATCAATAGAGCCCCCCCCCCCTTTTCACCAGAACCCTTGACCCTGGGGCCATGAAATTCAAAATTTTGGAAGAGGCATCCTTGCTTATCATAACAATGTACTTAATTTGTTTAAATAATACCCAGGAGCAGAGAAGAAGATTTTAAAGAATTAATGCATTTTCACTATATAATAAATAGAGTCCCACCCTTTTCCCTGATCCAGGGGCCATAAATTCACAATTTTGGAAGAGGCATCCTTGCTTATCATAACTATGTATTTAATTTGTTTCAGTAATAGCCAGGAGTAGAGAAGAAGATTTTCAAAGAAATAATGCACTTTCACTATATGATCTATATAGCCCCGCCCTAGCACCAGAATCCCTGACCCTGGGGCTATGAATTTCACAATTTTGGTAGAGTCACTCTTGCTTATCATAACTATGTATTTAATTTGTTTCAATAATACCCAGGAGTAGAGAAGAAGATTTTCAAAGAATTAATGCACTTTCACTATATGATCTATATAGCCCCGCCCTAACACCAGAACCCCTGACCCTGGGGCCATAAATTTCACAATTTTGGTAGAGGGCTCAATGCTTATTACAATCATGCCAACAGTTTGACTGCTTGATGTCCAGGAGTAAAGAAGAAGATTTTTAAAGATAGTACTAATTTTGATGGTTTTAGCCCCACCCCTCAGGCCCCAGGGGGGCAGGGACCATGAAATTCACAATTTTTGTACCCCTTCACCTATTGATGCTTTATGCCAAAATTGGTTGAAATTGGTTCAGTGGTTCAAGAGAAGAAGCTGAAAATGTTCAAAAGTTTACGACCGACGGACGATAACGGACAAAAACAGATAGCAATAGGTCACCTGAGTGACTCAGGTGACCTAATAAAAACATCTTTTTATTAGTATATATGATAAGGAGAATAATTCAATTTTCTTTTTCAACTTAGATAAAATAGAAAATTGAGTTCTCTTTTCAATATGTCAATAAAATTGATCAATACGGCAGTGTTAGACTTTATGTGGCAGTGTCTGAGAAACTATAGACTAATTATTTTTGGCCTTAAATGCTAAATCAACAGCAATAGGCAAAAAAAAACCTAATCTTTAGTTTCTCAGGCACTGTTACATTGATCTTTTTATTGACACATTGAAAAGGGGGATAAATCAATTTTCTATTTTTCAAGTAGAGAAAGAAAATTGAGGATGCCAAGATTGTATATTATGCAGGCCTTTCAAAATCTACCAGTACCTGGTACTTTTGCACGGCTGAAATCATGATTGTACCTGCCAAAGTATTTGATGGGGAAAAAAATTCTTTAACATGTTTAATTAAAATTGCTTCCACAAGGTACCTCCTAATTTTGTAAAAGTACCACCTGTTTCTGATCTTTTTGAAAGCCCTGATTATGTATACTATAAGCAATATATACCAGTATATTGTTACAACAATATTTTATTCTCATACTTTTAATATTAGTTTTAAATAACATTATATAGAAGTTTGATAAAGTATTGAATAACACAAGAGCACAAAAATATTAAGATTCAAGTGGTACCATCATTTGTTGTCAAGAAAAGAGAACAAGAGGCCCAAGGGCCTTAACGGTCACCTGAGTACAATACATGTACAACAATTTAGAGGATCCATAGAGTATTAAAATGAAATGAAAGGTGAAGCTTTGTTGCCCAAAAGCAAGAAAAATAGGGTGATCAGGATCAAAAAATTAATTAGTCTACTATTCATTAACAGTTCATAAATTAGGTTCTAATCTGTTCCCCATTTACCACTATCACCATACAGTATATTAACAAACTATCAGTGCTTTTGTACTCTTTTAATTCCTTGTTGTAGACTCAGGTGACCTAAAAATAATAAAAGTCCTGCCAGCTGCATTTATTTTGAAATCTTTGGCCTGAAAAACTAAAGATTAATTTCTTTGGCCATAGAGTATCAAGCTGGTACCAGTTTAAATACTGAAAGTCATTTGGATGTTAAAACCTGAAGGATTGCAAGACCATTGCTTATGTTATAAATGTGTATATAACTTGTTATGCTTGACTAGGCATACTCACAAGTAAGCAAGAAGACACCGTTTGTTACGCTCCAGAGCAGAATGTCTTAGTTGTACACCAGAATACAGACCATTTTCTCCAGCAATTGTAGCACTCCTGTACACAAAAATTTTATCTTTCAATACATTAATGAAAAAGGGTGTACATATCAGCAGATCGTAATGTGTTATGTCTTTTTTCTAATTAAACACTGCAAACAGGTTTCACAGAAATATAAGACTAAAAGAATTTATCAGACACTTCTGTTCTACATTTATTACAGGGGATACCTACACATCTTTCTGGTTCTGTTCAAAAAGTGCTTTCATTTCTTCCAAGATTTGTCTGATTGCATCCTCCTGTTCAAATTGAAAAGAAATTGAATCTAAATTGTTCAAAATTTGAAGCATTATACATATACAGCACAGGAAATTTATGATTTCTTTGGATACAATCAAGTTATCCTTAATAGCTTAATAAAGCTATATAACTAAATAAAGCTATATAGCTAAATCAAGAGATTGTGCCGGACCTGAAGCATACCGTAGCACCAGTACACTTGAGATAGGTTGTAAGAAAAAAATATTTTAGATCCTCTTTTCAAACGAATGCGGTAATAGCGGATTTATGCTAATTAAGTGAGGTGAAAATTTGTTTTAGACAATATTTTTTTTACCCGTTTTGACCTTATCCTCGTCAGCAGTTGTAAAATATGACAAAAGCAATCCAAATTAAATTTCTCTAATGATATTTGGTGCAGCAGGGGACACAATCATGCGAAATATTCGAGGAAAATAAAAGGGGCACGACTCTAGGACCATAACGAATTTAGGGCCTCCGACGAATCAAGAGATGGACCTGCTTTAGTTGATGATACAATATATTAATTTCTACTATTTACATCACTATTTCCATTGCGATATACATAATCAATCATTACAAACTGACGGTAAATTAGAATAATTCACACTATAAAATACGTGGATAATTTATGCTTTTCACTTGACAGGACCAACGTCAGCAAAAATGAATAATATGTTAGAGAACTCTGCAAAACATGCAATTTTTCACATCAAACAAACATTGTATGGTGGTAAAGATCCGTCCAATGTCCTTTGTAATTCTCGGAGAAGATCTAGTGCTTTTTCTGCCAGCATTTTTTTTTTCAATATCGTGCAGTGTTTGTTTACATTTTTCCCGCCATCTTTAATAGGAGTTGTCTGGTTTCTGTTTATTGGTCAAAGCTCTCCAATGGTTGACGATTTCACAAATGTCTAGATAATCTAGACAAGCCGTTCGAATTTGTTTCTGACATTTTTCCAATTTGTTCACTTACTAAACGTTCAATTCTCTTTCATATAACAACATATTGAAACAAATTCATTTTTCTTGAATATAATAAGCTAAGTGAAATATATGTTTTTACAAAATCTTGATATCGATATAGAATGCAATATGTTTACTTTATTATGTAGCTATAATAAATACTGTCTATAATAAAATATATAAACTACTAAAAGTCTAGAGAGTGTATATTTATTATGGTGTATCCTGATTTATTTGGACGAAGGGCGGTGACAAGTGCGAAGCACGAGTCTCTGTCCCTTCGTCCAAATAAATCAGGATACTCTATAATAAATATTCAATATGTATCATATGGCTGTGCCTGTAATATGGGTAGAATCTAGCAGGAATTGGCAAATTCCGGGCGTACTTGAGGCGGAGACAGAATTTTTGAATAGTTACGCCTGAGTATAAGGCGTCATTTCTACTTTCCGGGCGTCGCGTCAATTGGCAAGTTCAGATTAAAATGGCAAGAAAATGGAAACAAAAATTACGCCTGGAACTTTCAGGAGGAGTAAAAGCGTCTGATTGGTCAATTTAATTATCAATTAAGGGTCATTTCAGATAGGAGGTTAAGTTTGAATTTGATTAGGAAGGAGGGAGTTTAGTGTGACTGAAATAGGAAATACAGATATATCAATGTTAAGGCTTTTACACTTGTTCTGGATGACACAGTATCTGCTGGTAGGTGTGATAATTAATATCTGGTATCAACTTGAGTAGATTCTTTGATTATGATTATGTACAATGATCATAAGTTATAACTTATTGACTCTTTACTTTAGATATTTTGAGTTATTCTGATAGAGGCATTCGAACTGTAAAATACTGAATAAATGAAGAACTGTATTAAGTAATTTGTTTAAGTGTCATGATTATTGAAGTGATAAAATGTATACTATAAAAAGTTTATTGAATTCTTAAACATTATTTTACACTCATGGTGGTGTTTGACAGTGTCCCTTATACAAAAAATTGAAACGGCTTTTATAAATTATATTTCTATACCATGTTAACAACTGGTTAATGACCTGTCATTATGTTTTCTTCCAGTTCAAAAGGCTAAATTTTTAACTTTAACATTGTAAATCATAACCTAAATGTTTTCCTTGGTTATATAGGTTTTTAGGTCACATAGTATTATATAATAATAAGGACTTTCCAGGTGTAATTCTGCTTCACATGCTTCAGGCGTCATTTTAGTTTCCAGGCGTAATTTTTTTTTCCGGGCGTCATTTATTTTTCCGGGCGTAGCTCATTTGCATTTTTCGCCTCAAATTCCTGCTCAATTCCACTTGGTTTCCTTTTGGGTAAAAAAAAATACGCCCGGAACCTGTATATCACCATATATGTATTGAGACAAACTGACGCCCGGAATCCCTCCTCCAAGTACGCCTCTATTCCACCTATATTCCGGGCGGAACATTTCGTACAGGCGGTGTTTTTCCTTTGAAGTAAAGTGTACAAAAACTAGAGCTACACCGATGGGCGGAGCCAGCATAAGTTGTGCCATGTAAATAAATTATTGAACACCAAGGTGATCTCAACATTTTAAATTACATGTATATTGAATCTGATTTACAGAATTAAATGGGCTTTGTTATATACAAAGACAAAATTTCTGCCAATAAGGTCATTCACATAAATTACAGTGCACATGTATCCCAAAATACGAAATGTTTTTACAGAACTCTGTAAATATTCGATCCAACAAGAAATCAAGTTCTTGACATGAATTCCACAAATATGAATATATACTTATATAAATATCTTAAAATATCACACCTATTTTAGCAGGATATACCATCTTTGCTGTGTTCTTTGCTCAACTAGAATAAAGTTCAGCTGCACTGCATCCACAGATGAAGAGTTATTGACCCTGACCACACTGCTTAACGCGTTATCGGCTATTCAGTTGTTATCGGGCATTCGGTGCAAGGAAAGCAAAGTTTAGAAAACATAGGTGATATTAAATTTCTTAACTCAATGATAATTGCGTACTTCAGCAAACAAAGTTTGTGATCTTAGGCAGATAAATGATTATACTTTCAGCAGCAAAAAGAACAAACCAAATCACTCTCTTTCTAAAGATATGCAGCTTTTTCAAATGATATTTTATCAAAATTTCGGAATATTTCATCACATTTTAGCTTTTGTAGAAGTCAAAATCAGATTATTCTATAAAACAAAACGGTTTATTTATTCTATGGACAATCATATACCTGTAGATAAGCAGACTGAGATCAAAAATCCAAATGAAGGGTTAGTTAACAGGCATCTAAAATGTCTCGTTAGGTTAAAACATGTTATCGTCAACAAGGTTGATGTTGCCGGATAATTCGGTTTTTACGGGTGTACGTTATCGGAAACTCAGGTTAAAAAGTTTCTTTCAGCTTTAGAAATAGATTGGGAAAAAAAGTAATTTATGATCCGTCAATGCTTGAAAATGCAGACGTAATGTGTTTTAAGGATATGCAATCCTCAGCCATGAAGGATAACTCTTAAAATTATTATTTAATTTAAAAAGTCTCAACATGAAGCTTGAAATTGAAAACTATTCATGCAACAATTTCCATTTTATGCATCTTAATATGACTTGAGGTTTTTGAAGTCTTAGAAAGGGTCTTGTAAAAAGTTGACATTTGTTCCTTATACAAGTAAAAAATAAATACAGTTTTAGATGAAGAGGATTTTCTTGACTTTAACCTTAAACACCAATGCTTTTTAGCATAATATGAAATTGGAAGTGATTTGTGATGTCTTGCAAATGATAGCACAAGCTTTTTACACTATGTATTATATAAATTTTGGAAGAAATAGAAAACCTATACATGTAAAACCAAAAAAGTATTTTTTAAAAAAACATGCAATTTTCCCTAAATGCCTGGATACCTATTATTTTTTAACTTAAAATATATTTGTTGATCAGTTTTCAATTAGAAAATGCATAGTTGATGTTTCTATTCGTCTTCTGAATATATTGGAGATTTTGATTATTTTCCCTATGTAATATGATAAACTATAATGATTAACTTTGAAGAAATACAGTGGGTAAATATACATTAATTTGTGAATTCAGAGATATATTTGTGAGAATTTTCAATTACATAACTGCCGAGGATCGGATTACCTTAAGTATTTTTTTTTTAATTTTCCAGATTTTCCATTGTTATTTTGTTTTGATACTCGCACATGTATATAAATAAGAATAATTATTATAATTATGATTTTATAATTTAACTCCCTATCTGTTCAATCATTTTTCTGTTCTCCATTAAACATTATATATATGACATGTATATAACAAATCTATAGTTGCTTTAGTTAGTCACGTCTTCCGATCTAATACTAGTACGTCATTTTTGAAAAACATCGTCACTTCAAGTGCCCAAATGAGCCTAGAAGGCTAAATGTTTTTATGTCCAATATAGAGCAATAACATTGTTTTTGTCAAACCATTTGATTTTAAGGTTTAAAATAGAGGAAATAGAATGAGGTGCATATCGCAAAGAAATATTTCTTTATAAATTAAATTTAAAAAAAACGTTAAATTTCCCAAACGTGAAAAATACTTGAGGGGGGGGATCGATTCACTTCACTTCTTAATATGTTTAACTTTTTTTTTACAAACAGTGATCCGCGTTTTCAATGAAGGGGGGGGGGGGGGTGCCAAGGGTTTTTTTTATTTGCTTGAGTATAAAAATTCAATAACTCTGCAAATTCCAGGTGAGGTTCGAACCTCCCCGACGCCCCCCCCCCCCCCCTCCTCTCCAGCTCCAGGCATGAACTCCACCTAGCTACACATTGAATTATCTACGGGTTTTTCATTTGGCCGATAATGATACAGAGCACACTGTGGGTGTGACCGATCGACAGGGGGTGTTTATTCCTTCTTGGCCACTAAACCAACCTCTGCTGTTTTTAGAGGTCCGTGTTTTCTCTGTTCCAAATTTATATTGTTTCAATAGACTTTTGAGCTTTATTACTGTTCGTTATCTTCATAATTTCCTTCCGTCAGTAACGCTTTTTGAAAACTAGTAAAGTCAATCTCTTTTTTTTCCCTCAAAGGTTAGAATTCTAGGTCATATTTGGCTTAACACCCTTTTAGGAAATTCATTAAATCACCCTTGAGTTTAGATTCTTTAATTGCTTGATACCGAACTAAAACATGTATGTACTTAGTTCTAACAAAAGGCGGTTAAGGGTACATCAAAAATGCAAAGTCAACGAATAAAGACGAAACAAGCAAAACAGAGACAAAAGCGAAGAACAGTGCGTAACTGTGAAAGGCAATCACAGAAAACTAAGAATAAATTACTGTGAATTCAGCAATTATTGCGAGTCTTTTATACTGCGAATAATGCAATGTAAGAATCGCAATAATTAAATCTGGAATCTGTATTTTGGTTACAAAAGAGATTTATAATTCAGAGGTTTTAAAACTTAAATCATATTTTCGAACAGGTCAAGATCATGTACATTTCAGTGATCATGAGAAATGCCAAAAACACTCTTTTTTTTTTAAGTTAAGTATTCTTAAAAGAGACAAATGATAGCCAAAAATTCGAATTGTGTGCCTGCCATTTTAAATAATTAGATTTAATGAAGTTGTCTGTTGTTTCTTCACATTTTCCTAAAATATGACAACCTTTGTTTCCATGGCCGTAGGAACCGGGGGGGGCACGGGGGGGCCGTGCCCCCCCAATAATTTTGCCGATATATAGATTACTATAGTAAACATAGATACTATAAGCATGTGCCCCCTCAATAAAACCGCCTGATGACCTTTTTTTTTTTTTTTTTTTTTTTTTTTGCTTGTCAGAAAATTTTTGGTAGTGCCCCCTCAACTGTCAACTGAAAAATGTTTGGCTGTGCCCCCCCAAACTGAAATTGCTTCCTACGGGCCTGGTTTCCGATAACAAAAACCGAAATTTCCGATAACAAGGTGAACCATTCAACCGTATTTCCGATAACATCCTAATAGTTAAAAAAACGGGAATTTTTACCCTTTAATTCCATCTTTGCGAGATTCTGACGATGTCACATTGTGGACAATAACTAATGTTAGGTAAATATAAGGATTTTGAAGAAAGAGGCTATATGCAGCAATGCCAATCGGACAAAAACTTGCAAAATATAACAAATTTGACTTTTAAAGTCTTCCCAAGACTCACAAATACTATAATAAGACATCTTGGGGCTTTATTTTGTATCTGTATTCATTCTTGTTCACAAAAAGCACAATCAACATTCTCTGTTTCTATTATTACAATGTTTATTTGCAACAATTTACTAACCTGTCAAAAGTTGTTATCCACCGAATGCCCGATAACAACCGAATAGCCGATAACGCGTTGAGCAGTGTGCTGACAGAGCGTTTTTTGTTCATGCGACAGCTCTCGAATATGTCAAATGATTAACGAGAATCTTTTTTCTTGATTTTCAATTAACACCTGAATTTCCCTTACTTCAACTTCGAATTTTTCATCCTTAATATCCAAAGGTTTTCTTATGAATTTCATTAACAATCCGTGTTTATATCAAGTTGGAGAGCTGCAATCTGACGTCCTTTTTTATGAACAAACACATAAAATGTGTGTATTAAAAATACTGACCGGAAGGAGACAAAAACTATATTAGCCTTGTTTTCTATTATAAAGTATATACTTGCGAAATTACAGGGGCACCCCCTTCCCTTTACAATGGGCTTAAACAAAGAAAGCAATATATAAGCATGGTATGGGGTTGCCTGTTCATACAGAATGTTTTTATTTGCAGAACACTATAGAAACAAGAACAAAAAAAAAAAAACAACAACAAAGTATTGGTTATAATGCATACAACCTACCTACCTACCTCATGACCCTTGATGTATGTAATGTGAGGATGCAGATGTCTTATAAGTGTTTGACATATCAAAGTTTAACCTGGTATTCATGATAGAGTCAAGTCCACAGCAAGTCCATCAGAACAAGAGGTGGTGGGGGTAGGGGGTTTGCACCCTCTTAAAAAAAGAAAACTTGAAAATATTATTTTGACTTCAAGAATGCACCACAACAACAGATGCTTGTTTCATACAGTGTGCTAGTTTACTACTGTTCAATAATACAATTCACAGAATATTGAATTGTAGTATTTATTAAAACTACATGTAGCAATACTGTGTGAAACAATTGAGGGCCTGTCACCAGAACCCATCAAAATTGTACCCATTTATTCCGACTCAGCGGAGAGGGTAATCCATCCCAGATCCTCCCCCACACCCCCTTTTCCAGAAACCTGGTGACGGCCCTGCATTAGACTCAATTTGTCATATCCATGGTATATTCTACATATTAGTGTTTCTGACAGCCAAATTTTAACCGTTTATAAATGTAATATCTATAGTAACATCTAATTAAATACAATTCAGTGTACAAAATATATTTATTATAATAAATAAAGAAATATACATATAAAATTACAAAAGAGGTGGGAGAACATATTGGCAATTAGATGAAAAAGAAAAACAGACTAAATAGTAAAAGAATAGACTAGTATATATTGTATTGTTCAATTGCAATAATAACAAGATGTGTTTGTGTAACACTAATACTCCCGTATGACAGCTAGGGTAGGTAAAAATTCTCAAATGCAAGTCAAACTCTAAGGTCAAGAGATAAAAAATATTGGTACATAAGGAAAGCTCTTGTCACGAGGAATACACATGTGAAACATGAAAGCCATAGCTCCAACCAATCAAAATTTACATGGGCAAGGTCAAATTTTAGCAGACAATCAGACAGACCAAAAACTATATGCCCTGGAATCTTCTATTACAGGGGCATAAAAATAGCAAAAATTATTGTTGAGCTATGTGTTGTTCACTTTAAAATTCCTATAACAGTCTTGGTCAACTCCTCTTTTCCGACACAAACTTGAGATTCTCCTGTACTTTCTGGTATATGGATTTCAATTCCTCTATTTTTAATCTGGATTTCTACAATATAAAAAAGTATCACTCTATCTCAGCTTGCAAAAATGGTATTTAAACTGAAAAATAGAGAATATACATCTCTGAAATCACATGTGATGTTTTGTGGGTGCTTTCTATACATTTTTTGTTTAAATATTTGATTAATAAGACCGTATACCCTTCTTTATATAAAATTTCTAGGTGGATATTTTTACCAATGGAAAAAATACATGTATCTTAAGACAGTTTTACCACTGTTAAACACTAGCTCCTAAATTTACCTGTCCAGAGATTGTATATGTATAGAAACTTTGTTGTTTGTTGAGATTAAAATTTATAGGTATGTTTTTCATATATGGTACATATATACAAAGTAAATAGAAGTGATACATATTCTATTCAGTGTTTATATTTTAAAGATAGACTGGTAAATAAGTAAACTATGTAAACATTTGATTGAATTACCCCTGCATTCTTAAAATAACCCCAGTAATGAAGATTGTGAAATTACACTTTAAATTACCTGTGCATGTACAGTAAAACAAGCTTATAGTGAACATGCTTAAAATGAACTGACATTTAGAGGTAATTTTTATTTTCTGTGGCTTTAAAATATATAGTGAACTTAACAGATACATGTAAAACAATTTACATTTATAAGGAAGCAAAATTGCCTGTCCCTGGCACTTTGTTATAGGCGTGTTTTCCTGTATTTCGGGTATTAAAAAATAGATACTGAGAGTAAGTTGTATTCCATAAATGTATATATCCCATGGGAACATGATCATACAGGGCCCTCAATATACTGTCTATCTGAGTTTTCACATACAGGGTGTTTCAGCAAACATGTCCAAACTTTGCAGTTTCAATATAAAGTTAGACAGTATTAATCTAAGAAAATTTTTGCAAAAATGTAAACCACATAATCAAACAATTTTATCAATATGAAAGTTGAAGTGATGCCAAATCAATTATTCTTTAAGACAGTTTTTTTTAAAGTTTGAACTTCAGCAGCAGTTTTCAAAATTTAATGTCATTTTTTATGTGTTCGAAAGAGCTGCAATGGTTTTAAGTCAGCATCCTCATTTTGTCTTTGATGTCCTGTATTGCATATTTTTTGACATCATTTGAAAAGTCTGTTTCTTAGAAAGATGGTATTCATATGAGTACATGTACTTCTCTTTTCAAAATCTTATGCACTAGTATTGGTGATTTTGGAGATTTTCTGTTTGTGTTGATTAGTTCAAAACATCCATAGATCCCTTTTTGGAGGGGGAAAAAACCTGACAACCTGATTTTTGAAGACGTAATCAACACTTCAGTAGGAAAAATATAATGAAGTTATTTTATATTATTTATATCACAATTATATTGCCAGAAAATATGCTATAAAATAAAGTTACAGTTTTGTAAATATTTTATTATTGTGTGAAAAATATAGGCATCAAAATTTGGGACATGTTTGTTGAAACACCCTGTAAATGACATAAATAAATAAATGAAATTTCAAAAGCTAAGAAATGTGCATTAATTTGATTTAGTTCTAGTTTACTTCATAGTTAGCTTCATAGTTTTAATTTAAAATATTCTGCTTACCAAGAACATTGGCTTTATTTTCTTCTGACCTGAAGTAGGGTCTTGATAAAGAATTGCAAGATATGTGGAAAACTTTTGCTGTAAACAGGAAATAATGCAATAATAATGAAATCATTCAACAAATAATTTTTTTTATATTTCTTTAGAGAATTAAGTTCCTGTCAATATGAATATGTTCAGGAAGGTAAAAAGTATGATGGAGAAGATCAAGATTAACCCCCCCTCTTTCACCCCCTCCCAAACTCTAACAGTGCTCTCTGATATACAAGCAGTTTTACTGTAAAATTTTGATTCCCTATTGTGGCCCACCCTACTCTCAGGGGCATGATTTGAATAATTTAGAATCTATATTGCCTCAGGAAGCTTTGGCATAAGTTTAGTCTTTTCTACGGTAAAACACCCACAGCTATATGAACCCACTTTTATATCTGTTTGATGTTGTCAGGTTGTTCTCCAGGAAAACACCCTAGCTAGGCTATATGAACCCAGTTTATTACATTACTGCCCCTGAAAAGATACAGAAACAAAATTTTACCATGATTATAGCTTCCACAATTACTACGTCTTGAACAAGCTGCCTTGGAAAGAACTCTGTATTTACTTGTCCCAATCTGTTGACACTAGAAACATTGATTCCAACTGCTGGCACCACTAACATGCTCTCTGTGAAAATTCATTATACACATGTATAGATTTCCTAGGATACGTTGCTCAACGTTACTTTTCAAAATATTAAACATACACAATAAAGATATGGATGGTATATCAGTATATTTTGATCTGAGAATTTTACGAAAACAAAACCTTACCTGATTTAGTTTCAAATTTGAATACCAACAGACAAGTCAGGGTTGCAACACCAATATGAGAGGCAAGAATCTGATATTAAAATAAATACTGTTAAAAAATGTATGAATACATAATGAGTTCATAATTTAAAAAAATAACTAGTTTTTAACCTGCTTACCCATTCTATTTCCTGTTCGCTAAATCTCACTTTGGAGGACATACAACAAATAAACGCATTTAAAACTATAAGAATTATTAATAATTTAGCAGTTCTACATGGATAAATAACTTTTACTTCATAATCGCCTTGCCATTTCATTTGAGACATTGACTGAAAGTGAAAGAAAATCGGGGTAGACAAGACGCGCGTGGTTAATGTTTATTTTCTACTTTCATTTTATCAGGTTCCCAATAAGGGCAGAGAACCAGGGTTAACTTCTTTTTTTTTACGTGTAGACCTACCGTCATCAACATTATGACTATTGTTAGGACTAATACTTCATAAATATATGGATGTTAGGACATTTTCACCTCATCATTTTTTTTTATGCCGGCAATATGAAAAGAAAACGTCATATGTGATTTAAACCCTTCTATCAGCTAGTCTGAGTTATCTATCGTTAAAGTTCAAAATATTTTTTATTATGTTAATTAACTGCTGAATAAAAAAAATTGATAATTTTTAAAAATTCAAGTAAATAAAATATTTACTATTTGTTTTAAAACTGAGGATAAAATATGTTTATATCGAGTAAAAAGATTTTACTTTATTTCAAAAGATTTAAAAAGTTTAAAAGATTTAAAATAATTGAGAAGACTAGGAAAAAAGACCTAGTAATTCTTCGCACGATAAAGAACCCTTTTTGTGAAAATTACCGGATGTATGTACGTCCTGGTTTAAATTAAATAATAAAAGTGAAGTGAATTCAACAATGAAAATTCCGTAAATTTATCCTGTCCGCTAGTGTGTTATATTGTTCTGCCCCGACACTGAAGATAATTTATGTCAGGATGTAAGAAAAGTATGACAATGTGCAAGATAATTCAAGAAAGATTATTAATTTAACATCTTTTGAGCGAATCTGATTTTAATGTCGGTAAATTTTTAACGTACTATAACACCAACATCTGACATCGTACATGTGAGATATTGTAACTATTAACATAATGATTGAATAATTCCTTTAGCCCGTCCCACGACCGGAACGTCACCGCTCTTTGCAAGATATCTCAAAATATATAAATACCCTTTTAAAAAAGTTCTCTGCATTATTGGCTGAGATCCTACACTGTAGAAACAAGAGGCCCAAGGACCTTAATGGTCACCTGAGTATAATGTAACGATCCATAGATTAAAACAAAATAAGCTGACATAAATGAAGCTATATTTCCCAAAAGCAAGAGAAATATGATGATCAGGGACCAGCAAAACATTAATTTAGTACTCACACAGGTAGAAGCTGCACCTTTCAGTTAACTGAATGGTGACTGAAAGGTCTGGAAAGGCGACTGAATGGCAGAGCTACGCCATTCAGTCACCTTTCAGTAAACTTTCAATATTAACTGAATGGCAGTTCAGTAACAGTGTCAGTGTCAGTAACAAATCTTAAAGTTGATCTATTTATTTGCCTGTATTTCCCCTTTGTCACTATTTCCATGTGGACTATACAAAACAATAGTTCTATAGCACTATTTAACACATTTCAGCCCCCCCCCCCCCTCACAGTCTCTTAGTCTTTGAAGATTATTTAAGGTACAAAGATAAGGTATTTTTGTCCCAGTTTCATTTATCTATTATTTGAAAGTCTTCCTGACCATTAAAAACTATGAAAATACTTTTTGTATTTTAAATATTATAAAAATTCTTGTATAATTCTGTTATTAAATTGACCTTTTCAATTACATTATTTACCGTGATTAACTATCGTAGGTGAATAGCAAAATTTTGGAAGAGGACTTAATGCTCATTATAATCATGCCAACAGATCGACTGCTTGATGTCCAGGAGTAAAGAAGAAGATTTTTAAAGATTGTACTCATTTTGATGGTTTTGGCCCCACCCCTAAAGCCCGGTCCATGAAACTCAAAATTTTTGTTCCTCTTTATTCTGAAATGTTCTATGCCAAAATTGGTTGAAATTGGTTCAGCGGTTGCAGAGAAATAGCTGAAAATGTTCAAATGTTAACGCATAACGCACGACGACGGACGAAAACGGAAAGCAATTGGTCACCTAAGTGACTCAGGTGACCTAAAAATACTACGCTATGTTCACCTGCACGTGACCCTCAGGTGAACATAAGATATATTTTCTCTACATTGGACAAAATATAGATTGAGAACTTCCAAATTGATACAAATAGTTCTGGAACGTTATTTCACTAGCACGTACCTAACTTCCACTTAGGTGAGCATGTTGTAAATACATTCAGGCACTTGATAGAATCCGGGAGGGCTGCAGGGAGCCTGCCCCTCCCCACACTTTTTTCTGAAAAAAAATTATCTATTAATTTAGATGAAAATGTTCTTTGTAAGGCTGGTCCCCCTTTAACCTCCCTAACCCTAACCTCCCACTCCAAACACCACTCAAGAAATAAAATATGGAGTTTGGAGAATTCTACTTTTGGGGGACTAGTCAAAGATTTTTTTTTGTCAGTTAGTTGTCATTTTTATTCTTTTAATCCCCCCCCCCCCCCATCAAAATCGATCCTACGTTCCTGACATTTATAAATTAATACAACTTATTATGTTTTTTACCCTGCTTCTCTTCAGCAAATGTAAACAAGTAAGATGATATGGATTGCTTAACGAGTTTGTATCATTAAATCATTGAATCATACAATAAAACAATTATTGCTGTTTTCATGAATACGATGATTTAGCCACCTTTAAACCTTTCGGGTTCGGTGAACATTGTTCTCCTCATGTGGCTTAATCATCGTATTGACCTCAAAACAGTATAATTTGATGACTACGAGGGGAACAATCAAACTGTTGTCCCGAGGTAATGGGGAAGACCTGGGAAACTGTTGCCCGACGCCGAAGGCTAAGTTTCCTAGGTCTTGCCCATTATCGATAATTCGATAATTTTCGAGTTGTTAAGAGCATCCCGACAAACTGTTATATAATAGACCGACATATCGAGGGTGTAACGTATCCAGTATAAATAACTGTCTCACTAGCCTGGTACCCGAGGCCTTAAAATCCGAAGTGCAAGCACGAAATTCAAAGTCAGTGTCCCAATATGGATATCATTGTTTGATACAGTCTAGCTCTTGTGCATGTCATTTCCTGCATTGCGTTATATCCGACAGCCATCCAAAAAATTCTTACCACAGCCTTTGACTTTTCTATAATTCAAATACAACGCAGATAAATAAAGTGTCCTTCGATTTTCCCCCACATCTACCAAGAATGATGATTCTTCATTAATTGTGGTTTCTTGGTACAGACCCTGTCTACCTACCTAAAACGTACAACCATCTAGGAATTCTTCAGTCTCCAATCCAAACTCACTATTATCGAAAAAATTGCCAATGCGTGCAGGAAAGTTGTTTTTTCCAAACAATTTTTTTTTCTATCGAAAATGTTCATTGAAAGGACGGATGCCTCCCCCTCCACTTTTTGTTGTAGCATAGTAAAATAAGGGTATAATGTAGTAGTATATGAAGAAAATTTGGTACTGAAATAAGTCGAAACCTAACCCCCCCCCCCCCCAACGAAATAGGATTTTCGAGTTGGGACAATTTTCCTTTTTTTCTTTTTCTTTTCTTTTCTACGAAAGCCCATTGAGCTCATTTTCGTAGGTAAACAAAAATATATTTTTCGCGTTATAACGCGAAAATTTCGCGAATAAACGCGAAACTTTCGCAAATAAACGCGAAACTGTCGCGAATAAACGCGTAACTTTTGCAAATAAACGTGAAACTTTCGCGAATAAACGCGTAACTTTCGCGTTATAACGCGAAACTATCCCTGTAAAACAGAGACATTTGCAAAGTCTACAGTTTGTTTTACTTTTTAATGATCTAGTTTATTCATTACAATGAAAAACGAAAGACTATTTTGAACTTGGATTATCACAAGCTGAAATTTTTTGTTTTCTCGCCATTGAATGTGTCTCTCTTCTTTCTTAATCTTTTTGTCGTCACATTTTGTCTTTTTCAATGCTGTTCAATACAAGTGTTGAAGCGTATAGTAGAGGAGCGAAAATACAAGTCTAATTTTAATTAGATTGAACACTCTCTATAGAATTTGAAATAAAGATCTCAGAAAATTGACAACAATGAGGTAAATCTGTATATTTCACGGAACAGTTGTGTCACATCACATGAGTAACCTAATGTGAAAATTGGATGACAAATATTCGTATCAAATGATTCATCTCCAATAGACTCACTGTAGAAATAAAAAATTGTATTTTAAGGTTGCACCACTTGGTCATACCATTACTTACGAAAACATTGACAATTTATTCAAAGAAAGCAACGAGTGGAGATCTTCCTGAGAAAAAAATTAGTCTAAAGAATTTCTTGGATTCAACAAGTGAAAAACAAGAAAATCTTTAAAGGAATATTCATTTAATTAATTAGTAAGGTTTTGAGATTAAATGCAAAATCAACACTAATCTATCCAATTCTCGCATCAATTTTCATTTACATCTTCTGAAGAAATGTCATTTATAAATCCATAGAAGTCCCCCTCTGCGTTCATGTTTTTATCTGTCAGTCAAGATCACAGGTTCCTGAGTAACATGACTATAAATATATCATTTCGCGTAATAACGCGAAAGTTTCACGTTTATTCGCGAAAGTTTCGCGTTTATTCGCGAAAGTTACGCGTTTATTTGCGAAAGTTTATAACGCGTTTATTCGCGAAAGTTTATAACGCGAAAAATATATTTTTTTTACCTACGAAAATGAGCTCAATGGGCTTTCGTACTTTTATTTTTCTTTCTTTTTTTCTTTTCTTTTTTTTTTTTTTTTTGCTTGTCAAGTTTTTTCAGGTATAAGTTGAATTTTTTTTGTCTGGCTGCCCCCCCCCCCCCCTTCAAAAACGATGCTACGTCCCTGATTAGTGGATCCTTACTTGGACTTCTTCCTATTTCATCTGAAATTGACAAAAGAAAACTCCAATTTTTGGCCGTTTATATGCGAGCTGGACTCCTAAACCCTTACCAAACATATTTCTTCACTGGCTTTTTTTTCTTACTTGCAGTCTCCTGAACTTAGATATTATGATTTTATCCATGACGTTATGGCTCTACTCTTCAAGTATAACCTCCATCAGCACTTGTTTCTATATTTACAAGATGGTAACTTTCCTCCAAAGTACCTGTGAGAAGATGTGTAAAAGCAGCTGTCACA